AAGCAAGGCTGAAAATTTTGTGCAGGGATAGCATGTTTAGCAGATGTGAGGACCCAGAGAGCAGCCCTCTTCCCCACAAAAAAGAAGCACAGATCAAACAGTCTCTACCCTACCTAAGCATATGCCAGTTGCACTATGACCAAGTCAGAATGCAAGTGAGTGACTAAGGAAGGGGGATCATGGCCGCCCTGCCTGTGCCCAGAGTTGTCACTCTTCACTGGGGCTGGTGAGTGGGGAGCATCACGTTAAGACTCAGCTGTGGCTGCCAGGGTTAGTGCTCTGGTTCAATAGCAAAGTGAGACTTCTTCTCCACTTTCCAAACAAACAGAGAAGAATGCTATGTTTTCCTTCTGCACCCCAGTCCCAGTGAATCATTTTATGTACCTCTCTGCAGTTGGATGTGCCTATCCTACTTTACAGAACACTGCTTTGACCTTAATGTCTCTGTGGCCTTGCCCTATTCATTTTTGATCACACAAATCAATTAACATGCAATAATCAGAATTGTGCCTCTGCTACTTTGCCTGGACAACTCTAGTTTAATGTCATCAGCAAACCATGTTACTGTAAAGAGAGGCATGACGGTTTGAATGCTGTCATCTTCCTTCCCCCTTGCTACTTATCCTTCCCTCCCTCCCTGCACCACAAAAAGCTCCTAATAGTGGAAGTTACTAAGAGCAAGGCTGCAGAGGCATGTCAGTACCTGATTTCATAAGATATTACAAAGCTCTAGGAATTAAATTACTGTAGTAGTTACATGAAAATAGACATGTAGATCAGTGAAACAGAATAGAGAGCCTGGAAGTAAACCTACATGCTACAAATGTGTAGGTAACTGTACTAACACAAGGGTGTAAGGAATAGCACATTCCTCAAGAAATGGTATTAGGAAAACTGGGTTTCTGTTTGTAAAATAATGAAGTTAAATTGTGACACACCACCACCAAAGAACTGAAAAGGTATCAAAACCTTAAGTATAAAGTCTAACACAGTAAATCTTCGAATACATAGGGTAAATAAGCTTGTAGAACTTGCTTTTAGCAATAAGTTGTAAGTATGACACCAGATCAGAGAACAAAGGCAAGGATTGTTAGGTGAGAATTCATCAAACTGAAAATCCACAGTGAAGATGGAGGTTTCTGTCCTACCTGGTCCCACAGATAATTCACCCCAAATAAACACACGAATGCTGTATTAATTATAAAACTGTTGGCCAATGGCTATGGCTTCTTACTGACTAGATCTCTCTTAATTTTTAACCCATTTCTATTAATCTAAGTATTTCCACATAGTCTTATGTCACCAGAAAAGGGTCCGGACCTGTTACTCCTTCCTTTACTACATGGCGCCTCTTCATGGTGCCTCTCTCCCCAGCATCCTCCTCGTCTCCTAGCCCCATCTATCTTCCTGCCAATCAGTGTTTTATTCATCAACCAGTAAGGGAAACATATACACAGAAGGGCATCACTGCAGTGCATAGGAAACTAAGTGAAACACACCTGGGCAATAGGAAGCTATTTATAGGGTTCCCCTTCTGCTCCTTTGGTAAGGAGCAAGCATCTAAAAAATATATAGGGAACTTTTTTGTTTGGTTTACTTTTGATGCAGCTCAGGCTAGTCTTGAACTGATTATGTATCCTAAACTAGTCTTCAATTGACAATTCCCTGCTTTAGCCTCCTGAATGCCAGGATTACAGGAATGTGCTGTGGATCCAGCACAGGACTCTTAATAGCCAGGAAAAAAGCAAGAGGGGAAGGGGAGGAGAGAAAGAGTGGGGAGGAAAGGAAGGCAAGAAGGACAGACCAAGGATCTGAATAGACATTTCTCCAAAGAAACATGCCTGTGGAAGCATGGTTAGCATTACTAATCTATAAAATACAAATCAGAACCTGAAGGTTCATCTCTCATCTCATATGGTGGCTGCTTAACGAAGACACAAAGCTAGGGTGTCTGAGAGCATGTGGAGAAGGAGAATCTTTGTACGCCGGCAGCGGTGTGAGTTAATATAGCCATTGTGGGAAACAGTGAAGGATCTTCCATCATTGGAAAATAGAAGTGTCATTTGCTCCAGGAGCCACACTGATGGATATGTATCCAAAAAAAAAAAAAAAGTCATTGTCCCAAAGAGATACCTGCATACTCGTGTTCATCACATCACCATTCACAATGGTGACAGGGGTGTGAAGACAGGAGGTGGGGTATTGAGACAGCCTGAAGTCTAACAGCAAATAAGTGGATAAAATGGGACTGTGTGCACGTAATGGGATATTATTGGACCTTTAAGAAGACGAAAATCCTGGCATTTGCAAGAACATGTGTAAGTATAGAAGACACTATAATAAGTTAAATGAACCAGATACAAAAGGACAAACACTACATGATCCCCTTAATAAGGAATCTAAGATAGAGAAACTCTTAGAGCCAAGAAGTATGATAGTGGTAACCAGGGACCAGGGGGAGGGTGTGTGGTTTCAGTCAAAAACTACAGTTTGTGGTTGTGACTTGTATTGGTGCTGTCCAGCAGGGTCTGTAGTTGACAAGACTGTACCATTATATATTTAACATTTGGTAAAAGAGGCAGATCTTAAGCTTAAGTGCCCATGCCACAAAAGGAACAAAAATTAAACTCTTTCTTTTAAATAAAGAGAACAGGGGAATCGTTTGAAGATCTTGAGATTGTTTGGCTGTCTTTCTTTCCAAGCTTGAAAATACACATGTAAGCCTCAAGTATAAAGAAACTATATTTGATCATAAGATTTGTCACTCGCTACTGCTGGTGTGAGCTGTTAGCATGTTCCTCACTGCCATTTGGCATTCTGTTGAGTTCAGCAGTTGATGGAAGACTAGCTGTGGGGCTATCTTCCCCTTCCCACAGCCAGTAAGCTTTTAATCAAGGCACAAGGAGCTGTAAGTAAGCCTTGCTTTTGAGTCTGTGTATGAGGAGGGCTGGGAGCATGAGCAGGGGATGTCATGGCACAGTGATTAATGGTCTCTAGGACCTGAAAAGGAGAGTAATATACACAGTCTTTCTACCCCCTGGAGGAGGAATGCAAACACCATTGTGTCAATGTGGGCATCCTCACCGACTTCCTGGTAGCTGGGGAATCTCATGCACTCTTCTCCCACAAATAAAACTGTCAGAGAAGTGACAGGGCTCAAAGGCTGACCCTTTTCGCTTAAAAAGAATAGCTCAGACACAGTGAGCCAGAAAATTAATTTTGTAGCTGTTTGAGAACTGACTTACTTAATGAGAAATGAGAAAATGGGAACTTGAAAAGCCTTAAACACCAAATATTTGTTGATTCCAGCTCTACATTTGGCTTTTTAAATATGCCAAATTCCTGGAAACCCCCCCCCCTCTAAGTGAATCTAAAGGAGTAGCATCCCTTTGTAATGGAGTGACCATCTCAAAACTCTTCTGGCCAGCCGTCTGTGATAAATTTAGAGTCATATGCCCATGGTTTCCAGAAATGCTTGTCTTGTGTTGCAGGATGCTAGCATTTCAGAATGGCTTGTACTGTTTTAGAAAGTGATTCCTAGCTAAAGTTCTTTCTTCTCTTCAGTGACTGTGGTTCTTAGTAACGTCTCCAAAGGCTTAAGTGAGGAACAAGCCATTTTAAAGTATAAACAACGAACCATGGATGTTTGAAAAAAAATCTAAAGTTTGTGTGAAAAGCGGTGTGTTCTAACTGCCTTTGAGTGTTCACAAATGACAGAGCAGTGGTTTCAATGAGGACAGCAATAACTTACATTTTACCAGTTCAATCATTTTTTACCTACAATTCATAATATTTTTATCCCCACTCATTTTCTGCATTGTCTAATTTGTAATTGATTTTTTTATTTTTATTTTTCTGTAATATAAAAAGAATGAAATATTGATTAATGGAGAAATAAAGCCATACTTCAAAATAAAAGAAAGTAAAACCTCTGTATCATCCTTCTGTTTGTTTTATCTTATTTTTTAGAGTATCACTATAAATTTTAAATTGGTGTGATCTAAATTAAGACAACATCAGCTGGATTAAGCTCCGGCTGCGGTTTCTGAGTGGTTACACTTGTAAACTGTATTTGCAAGAGCTTATTTTTAGTCAGGATGTGGTTATTTTTAGACTCTCTTCTGTGTCACTAGGAAATGCAATGCCTGTCTTTCCATTGTTGTTTATCAGGAAGTGCTAGGGGATAGGCTATTAAAATCCAGTCCACATACGAACACTGCCTCTCCCGGTAGATAAAAGTACAAAATAGTACAGGGAGGAAAGTATGCACACTGAAAACATGCCTAATTCTGAATTTCTACTATCATTTTAACCTCTTGTATACTAAGCAACAGAATAGGTTTTTAGGGAATGCCAAAAATACAAGGTTTGGGTTCCCCCTGCTGGTGTCCATCCTGGGTTTGCCTGGGAGAGAGGCTAGAAACAGCAGTGCTGGCCTCTTAAAGAGACCCGATGAGAGAGGGGGAAAGGGAACCATTTCGTTTTCCCTGAAAATGTCACATAAAAAATAGGATAATTTAAAAATTGTATTTTGTACATTAGAAAAAACTCATCCCACTACTCCTGTGTTTGCTTTTGATGGTGTTGCCTCTGATAAGCTGCTTACAGTGCATTATGTTGTAATCTAAGGGGTGATAAACACCAGTGGACCCACAAAAGGAGTTGAAGCCTCTGAAGGAAATTCAGGACAGCATTGTCATAGTAAATTAAAGAACTAGCATTCCAGCTGGCTAATTCCTGGTTTAGTGTTTCAGAGAGTGACGTGGCATCCTGTGATGATGTTTGTCCACTTAACATCGCTTCTTTTTAATTGGTCATATGTATGTTTGAGACAGTTCTTTATTTTCTCTTAGTAAATGCCTGTAAGATTAATGGCTCATTTTTGAGAAAGAAAAATTTTAATTGACTCATAAAAGTCACCTCCAAACTTGGTATTATGTTTGCATTTTAAAAGCCTATTCAATCAAGCTAAAATATTGTATTTTCCAATTGCCTTTCAGCAATGCTGTCAACCTTTTAAGCAATGTTCCAGTCTCTTGTTTGGATGTTCTCATTTGTCCATTAACCCATGGAGAAACAGCTCAGGAGGCAGCGACTCTAGATGAACTGCCCGGTGATAAAACAACTGAGAAAGACACAGTTTTAAAAAGCAATGCCATGGTATACAATGGCATGAATATGGAGGCCATTCATGTTCTACTCACTTTTATGGAGAAGAGAATTGACAAGGTAAGGCTGCTGGAAGGGCATCTGAAGACCGCTGTGCCCTACACAGAGACAGCCCACGCATGAGCTCACAGCTAAGCCTTCTCTTTACACTTGACATGCTATATAGTTGTCCTTTTAAAAGTGTTTTATCATGATAAACTGGTAGAAATCGTATGAGTTTGTTTATGTTGAAAGTTGTATTTTTATACCATATATATAACTAGGGCCTGAAAACAATGGAAGATGAATAACTGCCCTGCATAGCTACTTTGTCAGCATGAGAAGAACTAACTTACTCTGAAATGACGTCTCAGAAGTGTTCCCTCCTCCGTTGTCTCTAGTCTGTCCCTCGGTTTCTCTGGTGAACGTGTTGAAAGGCAGCCGTGTGGCTTCGATGGCTCTAGGAATCCTTTGCTTCCTTGAAGCACATTAGCTAAGCTGGTGGAAACCCTAGGAAATGTAGGAAAGACCAGAAAAGACCAAGCCAGATAGTGATGTGGAGACAACTTAGGGAAATACTATTTAAAGGAACTTTAAAATTTGCTTGTAAGCTTTGGTATCATAAGATATATCATCCTCCTTTCCCCCTTCTTCCCCTCCAAAAAAACAAAAAATGTCTTCATGTTCTCAGTAGGAGAGCCATACCTTTAGGACCTGAACTAATATGGCGTGCATGGTTTTCTTTATAGGGAAGCAGCTATAGAGAGGGTCTAACTCCGGTTCTCAGCTTATTAACAGAGTGTTCCCGAGCCCATCGGAACATCCGAAAATTTCTCAAAGATCAGGTAATTGCTTACATCTTAAATTTAAAATTTCGTACATATGTTGTTAACGTAGAACTAATGAATTCTAATCGGAAACCTTACAGCCAGGAATGAACGCTCTTGTCCACATCGTCACTCGTCCGGCATTTATCTAGCACGTGTTCACCAAGGTCTGTTACACGCTGCTGTCAAACAGCTCGTGGGCGTTCAGTGCCATGAGTTCTTTATTCCTACAGGCTTTATCTCCTGGGAAATAACAAAGAACAGGTGTAATAGCAGGGCATGGTAAGTGTTCTAAGAAGGGAAAGGAGATTTGAGATGTGGGAGCGCCTCCTGGAAGAGGTGATGGTGAGCAGGAGGGCTGAGAAGTATGGAGTGAATGTGGAGAGGCATCTGTCAGAGAGAAGGGTTAGAGTTCTTAGATGAGAGTCTTTGGTGTGCTTCTGGGCACACATGGCAGCCAGTGAGCCTGGACAGAAGGCAGAAGGAAGAGACGGTCAGTGCAACAGAGTCCAGGGCGGTGACAAGGTTGAATCCCACTTTGGATTCTCTCTGCATGCTGAAAAAACACTGGAATCTTTTCAGACGGCTTGGTATGGCCTTATCTGCACTGAAAAATACTTCAAATGTTATGTGTGAGACAGTGTAATGGAGCATGAGTGGATGGATGTGCCCTACAACATAGTTAGACCAATCCTAGAACAGCTGACAAAGGCTGAGAAAGTGTAGGAGTGGCCAGAGTTCATGCTTTGGGCTGTCTTGAAAGAGCAGCTGATGGATTGAGGTTCACTCTGAGAAGACATAATAAGCTATGAACCTTTCGATTCTGTCTTAAGCTTCAACAGTAATGGACTCCTTAAAAATTCAATGTCAAACACCTTAGTCAGTGCTTTTAGTCCAGTCTTGTCTTGTCCTGTGGGGAATGTGCCATGCTTCTTCCTTCTCTCTTGCCTAGACAAGCTGGTATGCAGTTCATGACTGTAGTCACTGTTTTCCTGACAGCTTTAACTGCACTCTTCCTCAGTCTTCCCATTTTGAAACAAACAAATGGTTGAATAAATGTGGCCTGCTACTGAGCACTTGAACTGACTAGTCTCCTTAAATTTAAAACTACCAATAACAAGTGGCTTCTAAGCACATTCCAATATATTTGACAACTCCCTTTTCTTCAAAGGGAGATGGAGTCCCATGTAGCTCACATTGTCCTCTAATTCACTGTATAGCTGGATGACCTCAAACTTCTGATCCTCATGCTACCACCTCCAAAGTGCTAGGATGACATTTGTGTACACCACACCAAATGCATGCAGTGCTGGAGATCCATCCTAGAATTTGGTGCATACTAGGCACGCCCTCTGTCAACAGAGTACGTGCATGCTTGCCCTCTGGTAGCACTACCTCCTTGAAACACTTACTTCCTTTGGATCTTGGGACACAGTAGAGAACTTTGCTGGTCATCTTCCAAATTCTGAATGTTTGCATGCCTAAGACAAGTGAATCTGTGTCTACCTGTCTCCTCCCTTGTTACCACATCCCAGTGTTCTGATGCTGAACCCATCTATATGCTGATAATTCCCGGGCATGTAAAATACAACCTGAGCCATCCTCCGATCCCTAGACAATCATGATGACATGCTCATTTTAGAGTATTGGTTGTGTAGTGGTTTCCCTTTAGCATAGCCCCAACTGGTACCATAATTTCCCATCCTCCTTTCCTGATGATCTCTCTTCCTTTCCCAGTTCTTCACTGGCTTTTTATACTTGAATCAGGGTCCCTTTCGATACGGGGATAATTAGGTAGACCTTACTGTGTATCAGGCACAGGAAGAGTGCTAATCAACAATGCCAGAAAGCAGGAGCTCTTAAAACATGACCACTCTTTCAGCCAGATAAATGAACAAGCTTAGGCATGAGTTGGATTACTATAAAATACTCTACCTCGACTAGAAGAATTTGGTGAAGAATAATAAATGAAAATATTTTATGGGGCTGGAAAGATGGCTCAGAGCAAGGCTTGTTCTTCCAGAGGTCCCAGGTTCAATTCTCAACACGCACAGTGTAGCTCACATCTGTGTGTAACCCTCTTCCAGGAGGTCCAGTGCCCTTCCTGTCTCCACAGACATCGCATGCACATCTTGTACAGACATGCATTCAGGTAAAATACCCATGGGTATAAAATACATATTTTTCTTTTTCTTAAAAGAAACTTCATTTTCTGTGTTTTTTACTTGTTAATAGAAAAGCAAGGTCAAGGTTCAAGTAAACAAGTAAAAAGCTGCATTTAGTTTTTCTAATATGGACATTTAAAGAAAGATTTTTGTTAGCCATGTACTATATAGATGCACAAGAGTGTAAAACCCTGTGTCTCCTTGGGAAACACTGCAGTGTGGGTGAGGGCTTGAGACAGGACAGATAAAAGATAACTAAAGCTATAGGGTGTGTTATCCTGTGAAGCATACTGCCTTCTCACTGCCATCCCCAAGGAGATGCAGGACATCACATGACATCAGTTGCACTGTTTGTTGCGGGGACAAGCGTCCTGACAGAAGCAGCTGAGGGAGAGAGAATCTATTCTGGCTCAGGGTCCATCATAGTAAGGAGGGCCTGGCAGCAGCAGTTTCTAGCTGTACCATAAGGAGCGTGAAGCTGTTTGTTCCTAGCTCAGCAGACCAGGTAGCAGAGAAACGGAAGCCAGTGTTCAGCTGGCTTGTTCATGTTCGTTGTTCGTGTCCCTACAGTGCAAAAAAGTCACTCCATTTCCAAATAGTCTTAACTCTTTCTAGTATCCCTGAGCTACATAGACCCTGTCTCAAAACAGTAACAGGTGGCTGGGGTCATGGCCCAGTGGGTAAGAACATTTGCTACATAACCAAATCCTTATTACCCACATAAACAAGTTGGACATGGTCATGCATTGCCTGCAACCTCAAACACTGTAGGGGGACACTGACAGAAGGATTGATGAGGATTGCTGGCTGTTAGTGTGGGTCCAGGTACAGTGAGAGACCGTGCTTCAAGGGAATAAGGCGGAGAGTAATAAACGAGACACAGTGTCCTCTGGCCTCCGTGTATGTGCACACAACAGCAACAAAAAGTACAAACTTGGAGACTCAAGGCAAATCCCTTCTATCTGTAAACCAAATGACTTCTGCAGTGGTGGCACAACCACCAGGTATCTATTTCCATTCCCAAAGAAAAGCAAATATGAGGAATTGGCTCAAAGCCCCAGGGAGGGGGCAGTGGGGGAGACACTAAAGGTGAGCATCTTAAGCACCCTGTAGTTTTCTACGGTTCGCTAGCCATTGCCTAGATGACTATGTGCTGGCATCCCTGGCTTTCCTGAGCAGGAGTGACCTGTCGCCAGTCACCCTTTGTTTCTTGGGTCCCTACTGTAGTCCCTACTATAGCGTCTCCGCCGTGCATCATCCCACCACTCATTGCAGGGCTCTGAGCCTGAAGCAGACTCTTCCTGCTTACCCTTCTCTGAAATTGTGACTGACACCATCATGATCTCGAGTCTTACACTATGCACCATGTAGACGGCAAGAAAGTCTGCTCTGATGGGAACTCTGCTATCCGGAGAGGTCTGTTGGCCTGTGGTGGAGGAGGGAGTGGCCTAGGAGATGCAGGAGGTGGCTTCAAGGCTTTATAAAGACCTCATAATTAGCGTTCTTGCCAGTGTCAGCAGTCTCTCAGCACTCCTTCCTAAGTCACACCTTAGTCACATTTCTCAGTATTCCTTCCTAAGTCACACCTTAGTCACATTTCTCAGTACTCCTTCCTAAGTCACACCTTAGTCCCATTTCTCAGCACTCCTTCCTAAGGCATACCTTTAGTCACATTTCTCAGTACTCCTTCCTAAGTCACACCTTAGTCACATTTCGCAGTATTACTTCCTAAGTCATACCTTAGTCACATTTCTCAGCACTCCTTCCTAAGTCACACCTTAGTCACATTTCTCAGTATTCCTTCCTAAGGCATACCTTTAGTCACATTTCTCAGTACTCCTTCCTAAGTCACACCTTAGTCACATTTCTCAGTATTCCTTCCTAAGTCATACCTTAGTCACATTTCTCAGTACTCCTTCCTAAGTCATACCTTAGTCACATTTCTCAGCACTCCTTCCTAAGGCATACCTTTAGTCACATTTCTCAGCACTCCTTCCTAAGTCACACCTTAGTCACATTTCTCAGTATTCCTTCCTAAGGCATACCTTTAGTCACATTTCTCAGCACTCCTTCCTAAGTCACACCTTAGTCACATTTGTCAGTATTCCTTCCTAAGTCACACCTTAGTCACATTTCTCAGCACTCCTTCCTAAGTCACACCTTAGTCACATTTCTCAGCACTCCTTCCTAAGGCATACCTTTAGTCACATTTCTCAGTACTCCTTCCTAAGTCACACCTTAGTCACATTTCTCAGTATTCCTTCCTAAGTCATACCTTAGTCACATTTCTCAGCACTCCTTCCTAAGTCACACCTTAGTCACATTTCTCAGTATTCCTTCCTAAGGCATACCTTTAGTCACATTTCTCAGTATTCCTTCCTAAGTCACACCTTAGTCACATTTCTCAGTATTCCTTCCTAAGTCATACCTTTAGTCACATTTCTTATTCCTTCCTTGGGCAAGCTGCAAGCTTTACAATTCTTTTATTCCATTTCCCTTTGTTTCTAACTCTTACTATAAATCTAACAGCAGCCATAACACTAATATCATAACCCAAACATTTTCTTTTAAAATTTCTCCAGCAAAATAAACTAGTCCATCATTCCTAATTCCAGCCTCTGCAATGTCTTAGGGCATGAATTCATTATGGTCGATGGCTTTGTTTTCTATTTTCCCATCAGATTCTCATTTCCATCTAATACTCATTTCCTGGTTTCTTCCTTTTCTGAGTCCTACCAGAAACTCCAATTAAACCATGTTTACAGCATCTAAACCTCTCTAGTATGTTCCTCCAAATTCTTCCAACCTCTTCTAGTCACCCACTTCCAAAGCTGCCACTCCATTTCAGGTATAGTCACAGCAAACAACTTCTGGTACCAGTTTTCCGTGTGAGTCTGCTCATCATTACTATAATGAAATACCTGGGGCAGCCTAACTGTACAGAGAAAAGAAATTTCTTTAGCCTGGAGATATAAGAGTAAGACCTGGCATTGGTTTGGCTCTGGTGAAGACTGCATGACATGTGTCAGAAGCATGTATGCAGGGAAGAAGGGTCACACCTCAAAGCAAAAGGCCAGAATGAGCTCACTCTAGCATAACACAGCTTGCTGTCCTGCAAGCTCAAGGGTCTGAGCAGAGTTACCTTAACCCTCTGGAAACAACTCCTCCGTGACCTAAGAACCTTGAAGCTGCCTCGGCTCTTACAGGTCAGCTCACCACCTCTTGTCACCCCCACACTAGGGATCATGGTTTAGCATATGAACCTTAGAGAATGCACAGGGAGATATGAATGCTTACCTATCATAGGACCTTCCCTTACTTCCATTGTCTACAGATCTTCACTGCTGAGCCTGCCCACTTTTCTGAATGATAACTCAAAAGCATAACTTTGTCTTCTCTTTTCTGTTCTTTGGCTATTGGCCAAAATCCTGAGTGTATTTGCCCTGACGCTCCCCACCCCTTCTACAACTGCTTACAGACTTCTGGTGCTGATTGTAACTCAGAGGCCATGACTTCCTCTCCCTCTTCGCCACCTTCCTCCTAGCAGATGCCCTGAAGTTTTTCTTTGAAACTCTAATAAAATGGTCCGTGGACTTCAAAGAAAGGAAAGGAAGGGAGGAGAGAGAAGAAGAAAACAAGCTTCTAAAGAGCAGATACTAGATAGCGCTCAAGAAAGGCAGAACTTAATGTAGTGCATGGTCTCGGGGTGTGGCTCATTGGTGGAACTTGCTTTAGCCACAAGCTCAGTCTCTGGGGAAAATAACAGATAATTAGTTTTGACAATACTGGAGTTGAAGTTATGTCTAAATAGTTACTGCATGTAGTAGCAACTACTTTATTAAATCTAACTCGGTCATACCCAAAGGAATCTGGCCTTGGGTGCTCTGTTTGAGCAGTTACATATGAAAGCAGAGGAAATTACTGACCTAGGTTAGGCGCTTGAAGAAGTGATACTGTGGTACAAAGAGAAACTGGATACAACTTAGCAAAAAAATTGTTGAGGGATAATGTGAGGAGAGATGTATTTGGGAGCCACAAAACAAATTGGAGCTGGCTGACCCTTAAATCACTTGCCTCTGTGACACCATCCTCCAGTAAGCCCTCACCCAAAGTAGAATTGGTGGGTAGGATTACCTGATTTTGGGCTCTGAAGCTCCCAAACTGTAAAATTCAACTTAGCATGCCTTGGGCCTCTTCTTACACTAGCAGAATTGGACCAATACACCATGTGATGAAAATTACTTGGATTTATTCATTTCCCCTCTAAATCAACAAATATTTATTGGACACATAATATTCCAGGCACTGAGAAGAGACTAATAAAGAAAGGGGGAAATTGTCTCTATGGAACTTACTTTTGAAGAAGATACTAGGATAAACATTAGGACTAAGAGAGAAATGCTCAGAAACAAAGGCACACCTGGAGCATGCATGCACACTTCTTAAGAGTCACAGGATGTACTTCTGTGGAAAGAGGTGCACAGTCAGCATTTACTATGCCAGGTGTGTGTGTGGGAGACACAGAGAGAAACAGAGGCACACAGAGAGACAGAGACAGAGAGGGAGACAAAGAGACACACAGACAGAGACAGACAGACAGACAGACACACGCAGAGAGAGAGAGAGAGAGAGAGAGAGAGAGAGAGAGAGAGAGAGAGAGAGAGAGAGAGAGAGCACTAATGCAGCTAGCACAGAGAAAAGTCCTTGGTGATGAAAGGTTATCTCTTCCCCAAATGCTGGAGTCTAAAAGTGCTTCAGATTTATAATATTTTGAGATTTGCAGATATCTGCATAGATTACACAGTAAGATATCTTGCAGTGGGACCCAACTGTAAATATGAAATTCTTTCATGTTCTGTATACACCTTGTACCCAGAACTTATCTTCACTTAACCCATCACATGAAGTTCATGTCCCTCATCACATGAAATTTCTACTTATGGTATCATGTCAGCACCCAAAGGTTTCAGACTTTGGAGTTAGGAATATTCAACCTGAAACAGCCATTTTTATTATAAAATTAAACAACTAAAAAGCATAAATACAGATTTTTTTAGAAATTAGATACTAGTGTGCTGCTACACTTAAAAGAGATAATTCAGTGTGGTTTGGGCTGGTAAAGTGTGTGGATGGATGGGAAGCCGTGGGTGTTGCTGCATACAGGAGAGGTGCGTATGGAGTGTTGATCCGTAGACACCATCCACTCCTCTCCTCCCCTTCACTCTTCTCTCTCATTGTCCTGAAACTGTCTCTATTCCCCCCTCCCACCCTGCCGCGCCTGCTGCGCAGCCTGTATCCGAGAATGTGGCGAGGGGGTCGGGATTGATGACACAGAGACCAGTCGGTTGCGTTAAGAAATCTTTATGCTCCCCAAATCGGCTTAGGAGAACTCCCCAAGAAAACGCTTCCCTTCAGAAAAACTTCTGCCATACATACACGCACAAATCTCCAACACATCTCTCTCTGGTTAAATCTCTGACACCAGAATCGGGAACAGCAGAGGGCAGGAAGAAGTAGCTAGCCATTGGGAAGATCAAAGTCAGGGTGTTTCAGTGAGCCGGCCCTTATCGAGCCCTTATCAGGAACTTATGGCACTGGATTGTTTTCAGTAAACATGTTTTCAGTAAACATTGTCTCGCAGCTGCCTGCTCCCAGGCTGATGGAGGAGTGGGTTTCTGGCCAGGGTCTGTGGTCCCCACACCACCCCACTCCCCTCTGCCTGCCCCTCCATGCTGAAATTACCACACCACCACATCTGGATTGTTTCCTACGGTTTCTGAGGGTCCTCAGAACTTGGGTCCTCGTGCTTACACAGAGCTCCACTGACTTTACCCCTCTGGGTTTGCAGACAGTCTTGCTATGCAGCTAAAGCAGGCTGTGTACTCTTAGCCTCCTCGCTCAGCTTCCCATTCCCTTGTGTGCTCTATCATGTCCAGCGAGAAAGGGAGACTTGAGTCTCGTTAGGCACTGGAGGCACAGCAGGTGCTGAGATGGCCGGTACACAGGGAAGACATGGCTCTGTCCAAACAGAACTTTATTATGTGCATGAGATTATCGGAGTCTGGGTGTTGTTGATGATGATGATGATGATAGTAATGTCATTTTATTTGGAAGCTAACATTTATTTTTGACTTTAGTAAAACTAAGTGTAGTTTCTTCTAAGACTGACCAGTTGCATGGTATCCTTCTCACATACCCCAGGACCCTCAATTGACGATGGATCTTTTCATTTATGCCATCAGGTTTTACCACCATTGAGGGATGTGACAAATCGACCTGAAGTTGGCTCAACTGTGAGAAATAAGCTGGTGCGCCTCATGACACATGTTGACCTTGGAGTCAAGCAAATTGCTGCTGAATTTCTTTTTGTCCTTTGCAAAGAGAGAGGTAGGTTAAACTCTGTTTGCCCTATATTTTCTACCTATTGGAGGGAGTTTGAGATTCCCTGTTGTTGTAGTGTGTGATTCCCTCTGCAGAGCTGTAGAGCTGATTGACTGCCTTTTATTACAGAGGCTGTGCAGATGACAGGCAGTGGTAATTGGACAATGCTGTTAAGAGTCCTTAGGGCAGGCATGTAAACTTTGCTTTGTGTGTGCTTATCCCAGACCTCGTAGCATGTTGGACTTGGGAGTCATTGTAAGAGGTCTGCCCCTGTTAATGGCCAGGGACAGTTTTCAGTCGGCTCCTCTCCTTCCTCTTCAGATGGCAGTAAAAGTTTGGTCTCTTCACTGTATAGTCACAGAATGGTGACTATTTGGTGTACTGCATAAAACTTCAAAAGTCTACTGTGGTGTGACTTTACCCTTGTGATAACAGTATTATATTCTTGTTTATTAATATCTTTGTACAGATATCACATCTAAGCAGATGTGATCACTTTTTTGAAAAGCCACAGTTTTGTAAGATAGTTCAGAGATGAAACCCTGTCCTCAAAATATTTATTTATTTGTTCATTTATTTCCTTTTTTAATGCTGGGAATTAAATTTAGGGTTTCATAAATGCTAGGCAATGCCCCACCACTGAGCTATATTCCTGGACCTCAAAATCTTAAATCTTCTGTATTATTAAACCTCATTTCTAACTTTTTAGTTCAATCACTTAAATTCCTATAGGGGTGGAACATTATTAGCAATGTAATTGAAATGTTGTTATAATGTTGATGGCAGCTATTAGAAACAACAGGTGTCCTGTGCCTAAACCCACTCAATCCCACAGGGACACTCTTACGGTAATATTGCTTCCGTTTCATCTTCTTCCATGGTTTGAAAGAAGATCGCTTTGCATCTTGTAATCAGATAGTTACCGTAGTTCTTATATGTGTTATTACAATACTGGCTGATTGTATCTATGTATCTTAGATCACAAATGAGCTGTGTGGAGGCTGGGGAGATGAGTTAGTCAGCAGAATTGGAATAGAGGGAGAAAGGCAGGCAGGCAAACGAGCCAGCTTGTTGGTTCACATGTATAATCCCAGTGGAGAAGCAGAAACAGAACGGTCCCTTGGAGAAGGACCCCTGTGGCTTGTTGGTCAGACAGTCCAGCTTGATTTTCAGACTGCAGGACAGTGAGAGACCCTGCCTCAAAAGGCAGTGAACAGCATTCCAGAGGAATGACGCCTGAAGGTGCCTTCTGGCTTCCACATGCTCATGCACACACATTTGCACCTGTTTTTAAGAGTGTGTGGGGGTGGGTTTGTTTGTGCGTGACTGTGTGCATGCATGTGCATGTGTACATTAATCTAAACCCACATACATGTCACCCATTCACTTATGAATGGATGTCAGAGCTGGGGAGACGTGCAGCAGGAAAGCCTGAGTTCAGATTCTCAGAGCTTGTGTAAAGCTGAGTACAGTGCATAACTGTGGTCCTAGTGCGCCCCAGAAGACGGGAAGTGGAGACAAGACACTCTTGAGGAGGCAGAGGACCAGCCACCTGCCTTACTCAGCTGCAAACGAGACTTTAAACATACCCAAGGTGTGCTCATTGTGCTGTGGCATACTTGCCTACATTTGCACACACAGGTTTTCAGTAGTACTGTATTAGTAGTACTGTTACTACATTCGCACACACAGGTTTTCAGTAGTACTGTATCGGTAGTACTGTTACTACATTCACACACACAGGTTTTCAGTAGTACTGTATTAGTAGTACTGTATCAGTAGTACTGTTACTTTGACTAAGAAGATGGTTAGTTTTTATAGATTTTTGTTTACAATCAACACACATTTCTTGTGTACTTCTAAAGAATTCATAGATGAGCCAAGTGGTAGTGCATGCCTTTCATCCCAGCACTCATGGGGCAGAGGCAAACCAGTCTCTGAGTGCCAGGCCAGCCTGGTCTGTGGGCGAGTTCCAGGCCAGCCAGGCAACACAGAGAAACCTGTCTCAAACAACAAACAAACAAGTAAATACATAAATAAAAGATAGATAGAAACTCATCTATGACTGTGTATCAGCCTCACCTTGCTGATAAGTCAGTGCATGCCTTTGCAAGTGAATTGGTATCTAGTACTTATGGAGTTTTATAATACAACTGAACTCAGACCTAGCCCAGCTCAGCAAAATAATGTTTGTGGTTTTTTCTTTAATTAAATTTTGAAACTTATGTGTGTGGTCTTTTCAAGTACTAGAAATGTATAAATGTGTTGGAATAAAATCCATTCCTTTGAGGCCATGAGATGACTCTCGAGCTTCAGCATCTGAATTGGATCCTGGAATCTACATAGTAGAGGCAGAGACCTGAGGATTGCAGGTTTTCCTCTGACTTCCATGACACACACACATGCAAGCACACACACATGCAAGCACACACGCACACAAAAGCACACACACATGCAAACACACACATGCAAGCACACACGCACACAAAAGCACACACACACATGCAAGCACACACACGCAAGCACACACGCACACAAAAGCACACACACATGCAAACACACACATGCAAGCACACACGCACACAAAAGCACACACACACATGCAAACACACACATGCAAGCACACACGCACACAAAAGCACACACACACATGCAAGCACACACACACGCAAGCACACACCCACACAAAAGCACACACACATGCAAGCACACACACATGCAAGCACACACGCACACAAAAGCACACACACATGCAAACACACATGCAAGCACACACGCACACAAAAGCACACACACATGCAAACACACACATGCAAACACACACATGCAAACACACACATGCAAGCACACACATGCAAGCACATACGCACACAAAAGCACACACACATGCAAACACACACATGCAAGCACACACGCACACAAAGGCACACACGCACATGCAAGCACACATGCACACAAAAGCACACACGCACATGCAAGCACACACACACACACACACAAGCACACACGCAAGCACATGCACACATACGCAAGCAAATACAAGCACACACACACAGAAACTAAGATAAACAAACAAATGTGATGAATATTTTTAGATGCATCCATCCAAGAGTTATTTTTAAGCTAGACATAGAAGTACACTCGACTGTCAGGATTTCCATCCTCATGTTATTATTTACTTATGCAAATACCTACAGCAGCCAGGTTGGTAGTGATGAAAGTAAGTCACTCAGTCTACATGTAAAATGCCAGATAAAAAATGGACACTTTGCAATGGTTGGTTGCTTAGAGAACAGGGCTGGAGGGGCAAGGGGCTGCAGGGGTTGGAGACAAGGCACTGCTGGATAGCTACAACTCAATGCTGCCATTAAGGAACCGTAGACTATCGAATAACTTTCTTTTTTATTGTTGAAAATGAAGTCTTCTCTCATACAGTATATATATCCCGACCATAGTTTTCCCTCTCTCCACTCCTCCCTTTTCTCCCAGATTCACCCCCATCTTCCCATCAGAAAAGAGCATGCCTTGAAGAGACGGCAAAAACAAAACAGTAAAGTAAGACAAGGCAGAAGCCCTCACACTGGAGCTGGACAGGACAGCCCAGCAGGAGGAAGAGCCCCGAGAGCAGGCAGAAGAGTCAGGCACCCCAGTGTCCACAGCTAGGAGCGCACAGGACACCAGGCTAACAGCCACAACACACACAGGACCTGATGCAGACCCTGCAGCCTGTGCTTCTCACTTCAGTCTGTGTGAGCCCTGTTGATTTGGCAGGCCGCGTTTTCCTGGTGTTCCCCATCCCTCTAATTCCATGGGATTCCCTGAGTGGCAAGGGAGGGGGCCTGGTGGAGATCTCTAATTGAGACTCTGCTTGCATAATGTCTGGTTATGGGTCTCTGCATATGCTCCCAACTGCCACCAGAGGAAGCCTCTCTGATGATGACTGAACACGGCACTGATCTGGGAGTACAGCAGAAGGTCATTAGGAGGCATTTATTGATGCCTTTTAGACCAGTCAAGTCCTGTTTGGTTCTGCCCTGGTTAGGTTCCTGGTCCATTCAGGCTCCGGTGCCTGGCCATCACTTTGTTGAACATGGGCTCCCCTCATGGAGTGGGCCTCAAGTTAAATCAGACATTGGTTGGCCACTCTCACAAGTTCTGCAGCACCAGTGCCCAGCACATCTTGCAGGCAGGACAGATGATTGGTCAAAGGTTAGCTTGGTGTCCAGGTTTCTCTTTCTGTAGCCTTCCAGCACCGAAGACACTAGAACATTGGTGTGAAGGCTCCATGCAGGCACTAGCTCAACCTCTCTGTATGCAGTGAGCTGTGTAGATGTTGTCCTTGGCATTGGGCCCCGCTATCAGTTTGTCAAGAATGATCCTCTGTTAGGGCATCAGCCTTGGTTCTGGACTCTCCATGGGAGCCCCAAATACAACCCAGTAGTGCCACTGGCAGCCCTGCCTGCTTACCATAGATGGCCAGCTCAGACTTCACATCCTCCATTACTAGCCCTTATTAGGTCCCCTCATATATTCCAGGAAGTTTCCACTGCATGGGTTTCCATACCACCCTCCAGATGCCCCCCCCCCCAATTCTAGCTGTCTCTCCCCCACAGGTCTTGAACAGTTTTATTCATTTCCTTTAACATTTTTTCTTGGTCTCCTTTAAGGGATTTATTCATTTCCTCCAGTTGTTTGTGTTTTCCTGGCTTTCTTTAAGGGATTTATTAATTTCCTGTTTAAGGACCTCTGTCATCTCATATAGTTGGTTTTAAGCTCTTTTTCTTCTGCTTTAGCTGTATTAGAATATCAGGAGCCTGCTGCGATAGACTAGTAGGACTCTAGTGGGCACATATTGCCCTGGCTGTTATTAATTGTGTTCTTATGCTGGCATCTAGGCATCTCGGTTTGGAGTGATTGTAGGTCTAGGTACTGATTTCTGGATTTGCCTTTGTTGAGTGTATGTTTTGTTCCTTGATCCTGTTTCCTCTCTGGTGTTTCAGAGTGTGTTAGCCCACCCAACTGGTATGTTCACAGGGAATGTCTGCTGGTGCTGGAGGTGGGGGGGGCAGCAAGAAGTCAGGGGAGGACGGTCTGTGGGAATCACAGGAGATGTGGATGGGGTGGGAGGCACAGCTGGTGAACCTTTGCAGTGCTAGGGATGAACCTGAGGGATTGGGTCTGGGAGAACAGAGTGGAGAGTGTTTTACAGGTCAGATAACTTTCAGTTTCTTCTCTTAACAAAGCCAAGTTGAATGTGAAGGTGCTGTGCTCTGTGTTCAAACCACAAAGAGCAGTAAGCGACAGTGGGAAGCAAGATACAAAGGGTGAGGTCCTAGGAGAGACTGGGCATGGAAGGAATACCCAGTTGTCTTAAATACCCATCTGTGCCAGGCCAGCTCACTTCTGCAGCCAGCAGGAGCCAAAATGCTAACTTGTGGTCATGCCACCAACTTGTGTTGAACTGTGACAGAACTAAAATTTTATTGTCTCCTACAAAGTCACAGCTTTCTGGAAATCATGCTAGGCATGTTAGTAGGATAATAGAATCAGGCTTGAATTCCCTCCTAAGGAGTGGGTCTTTGGTCCATTCAGACAGCTGTTTGTTAGCCTCAAGGGGGGCCACTCTTGGACCACTGGGATTATCCTGCAAGACCAGTCATAGGTTTTACAGCTGAGTAGGACTGTTGCTGCCTCTCTTCCTTTGGCAGCTTGAGTAGCACCCTCAGATATGGTGACAGTCCTTAGAGAGGACCCTTCCGCAGCAATTCCAGCTTGAGTTCTCCAAGCCCTGTCTGAAGTGTAGTGTTCTCAGAAGTAGGGTCTTACCTTCAAGTTCTGGGAAGCAACCAAGGGCAATGGCCTGTATTGTTTTGGGGGTCCCTCAAAGGGAGGCTAACCATGCCTGATACTAGGGTTTCTGTTAGACTGTAGCATTTTGTAGGGAGTATTATCATAACTGCATGTGACATTAAGTGCATGTAAACCACACAAACACACACATACTCGTGTGTGTGTGTAAGCATGTAACATATATTTCTCTATGGCTTTTTCAAACATTCTTAGTTTTACTTGTCTCCCTTCCTCCACCTGTGTGACCCTGCATCCCAAGCTGAAGTCCACACACATTCTCCCTTCCTCCTCCTGAGTCCCTATCTGTGCTTCTATGAATTTTTTTAAGCAGTGGTGTTTTTTTTTTGTTTGTTTGTTTGTTTTGAGACAAGGTTTCTCTGTATTGCTTCGGAGCCTTTCCTGGAACTCATTCTGTAGGCTTTGAACGCACAGAGATCGCTTGTCTCTGCCTCCTGAGTGCTGGTGCTGGACACCAGCAATGTCCGGCCCCAGCAGTGGTTTTTGAGGTGAATGGTATGAGAATGCTATTTCAACTGTTGGTTTTATACATGAATAAATAAATGTGTGTTTTTTTTTCTACAGCTGACCTTAGGCTGTCGTTTTATGAACATTCTGCTCAAAGCCTTGAGTAAAATTGGGCAGTTTTTATTCTTGTTATATACATAATTGTGTGCCTTGACAGAAATGAAGTACCCCTCATATAAAGTTGCCAGTAATTGTTCAGTATACTCCTTAAAAATTTCTCTCTCTCTCTCTCTGTCTCTCTCTCTGTCTGTCTGTCTCTCTCTGTCTCTCTCTCTCTGTCTGTCTCTCTCTCTGTCTGTCTCTCTCTCTGTCTGTCTCTCTCTCTGTCTGTCTCTCTCTGTCTCTGTCTCTCTCTGTCTCTCTCTCACACACACACATATATAATATGTACCTCTGCAGTGCAGGGTTCTAGGGTACTCTAGGTACCAGTGCCTCGGGTGTGTGTGTGTGTGTGTGTGTAGGTGCACACGTGTGTACATATGGGCCCGCATTTGATATTGGGTGTCTTCTTCAGTTGTGTGTGTGTGCGCATGTGTGTGTGTGTGTGTGCAGGTGCACACGTGTGTACATATGGGCCTGCATTTGATGCTGGGTGTCTTCTTCAGTTGTGTGTGTGTGTGTGTGTGTGTGTGTGTGTGCAGGTGCACACGTGTGTACATATGGGCCCGCATTTGATGCTGGGTGTCTTCTTCAGTTGTGTGTGTGTGTGTGTGTGTGCAGGTGCACACGTGTGTACATATGGGCCCGCATTTGATGCTGGGTGCCTTCTTCAGTTGCTTTCTACTTTACTTATTGAAGCAGCCTCACAACTGAACCTGGAACTTGCTAGTTCCTAGGAAATGAGTGTCCGTCTTGCAAACACCTCTTCAGCGTTTACAGGGCTCTGACCTTACACCTGTGTCACAAGCACTTTTTCCCTGCACCGTCTCCCCAGCCTGCCCCGCCCCGCTGATGTTGTGTTAGCCCTTACAATTTGCTAATGTCCCTAGGTGTTCATATTTCTTATATATTTTCCTTTGTATCTCTTTAAGGATTAAAAAACTTTTAAATTGTTCATGCCACATGTGCAGAACCTCAGTCTGACCTTCATTGTTTTTAGTTTTGTTTTTAATAAGATTAGTGATCAAAAAGTGATGCATAATTCTTACTAACAGGGGCAGAGAGTAATCTGAGTCCCTGCTATCTAACAACAGGGTCTTGGGCTTCATAGCAAGGAGGATTGTTCGTAGGTAGTTCAGCCTAACTACTCTATGTTTAAAGGCCTCTCAAAGGGTTCTTGCCATTCTGCAAAGTGGGTCGTGACGGTATGTACTGTAGGGCTCCTGTCTAAAACCCTGTTGTGTTTTTGCAGTGGATAGTCTGCTGAAATACACTGGCTATGGGAATGCTGCAGGACTGTTGGCGGCCAGGGGCCTCTTGGCTGGAGGAAGAGGAGATAATTGGTACTCAGAGGACGAGGACACGGACACTGAAGAATACAAAAACGCAAAACCAAAGTATAGTACCAAGCTTCTGTTTATCTAAGCAACTGTTAGTGGTTTGTCTTCCACTTTGGTTTTCATTTCCAGTGCTTTCTCTTGTGAATTTGTAAGTTTTCCATCTACTGGTGTTTGTAAGAGACAGTTTCATGTAGTTAATGACTTCAACTGACTGAAAAAGGATAGTATTTCATGAAATGTGCTGCACTATTCTTTCAACAAGTTCATTACCCTCTGGGGCAGTAATTGTATTTGTTGATCACCAATTTAAAAGAGCATTGTTACTGCTTGCCTTCCCTTACATGAGGCTTTCTAATGAACAGCTAACATACATGCGTCCATAATATAACATACAGCTAACAACATCAAGGGTTGGAGTCGGTTATTTAATGCCTCCGTCATTCTCAGCACACTTACAGGTCAAAAAGTATTGCAGCAAGACGCATAGCTGCAGAACAAAAGACACTCTGCACTGAACAGTCACCAGACACACACTTACGAGCTCGGCCGTTAGCAGGCACCTCAGTGTCTGGGGACAAACCTGAAACATCGCTTAAGTCAGTATGTGCTATTAAGACAGTCTTGTTTTCTTAGGCTGTCACCTTTCTTCCTTTCCTCCTCCTTCCTTCTGTTCCTCCCTGTCCTTCTCATCCTCTCCAACTCTTATCCTTACTTCCCACTTTCTAGCAGTCACCTGAACTGAGTTTTACTGGGCTCCACAACTGGTTGTTAGTAAGGCACCTTCATTTTTAGGCATTGTCAGTGACAGTGACATGCTGTTTTCTATGGCCCTTCTTCCAGAGAATGATATGGTCATAAGTAGGTAACCAAGAATAGAACATCACAGTCTATAAAATCAAGTGTAGATTGTGTTCTGTTGACAGGATAATATTAAATTACCATAAGAAAAAAAATCACCAGTCTGTAATCAGGCAGGAACAACATGGCCTATTTCTTGACAAATAAGGTTTGAGTATGTATGTTATTTTTGGCATCCTAATACCCTGAGCTTCAGCAGGGTCTTACAGAGTATTACCTGAGAAACAAAGACTTTGATGGGGGAGGAGTGCTAGCAGTGACTCTGGAGTGATGGTTTTATAGACTACTGTCACTTAGATACATCTCTGTCAAGTATCTGAAAATAAAGTAGAGAAATTGTACATATTTAAGTCAATATTCTGAATTAGTCTTGCAAGCTCTTGTTCTCATTAATTCCATAAATTATATTTTCATATCACTTTAGCATGTCTTCTCATTTGAGACTTAAAGACATACTAGTTGAAAAAGTGCCCCTTTCTGTTGTTGGTGTGTGTTTGGGGTGGGGGGCATTCACCCCTTTTTGTTGAAAAACTGCCCCTTTCTGTTGTTGGTGTGTGTTTGGGGTGGGGTTGGAGGTCACAGTGCTGCCCAGGCTGATTGCAAAGTCATAGACTCAAGTAGACCCTCCCCCTGAGCTTCCCCAGCAGCTGAGACTTCAAGCACACAGCACCACAGCCACGAAGATGGAGATGGCATTAGCTATTTCTCCAATTCCAGGGCATGTGGGCACCGCCAGATAAGGTAGAAAACCCATAAGTGTTCATAGATAGCTGGTGTCTTTGGTTTCAATATGTGTGCTTGGTTCTGTCTACTGGATAGCCATCATAACGGCCGTGGTAACTAGAAAGTATTGAGTACTCAGGGAAGAAGGCACAGGAACACTGGGTCTCGCCCCATGGTGTAAGAAATGAAGGTTCATTCCATTGCAGGGGTGATGTTAGACCTCAGAAGGCACCTTGCGTGATCAGTGTGATGATATCTTAGCTCTCTGCCATGGGACAAAACCGTGCTTGGGCTTTGCAGCCTTAATGAAACTCTTCTCAGCTCTGAGACTTGGTCAGGGTCACGGCCAGTGTCAAGTCTTGGTCTCTGAAATGTTGCTCATCGTAAGCACAAATATGAATTTTCAAGTATATCACACCCCTTAAAATAGATTATCTGTCCTCTCAAGAGGAAAATCTGGAAGAGTTGTTAATGTCACTTTAAAATATATTCTTCCAGGGGTTCCTGTGGAAATGACAGTAAATAAAATACTTTGTCAACAAAGCAGCCCTCCATGTCTCTGGGGAATGACCCACAGAGCTTGAAGAGCTCCTTAGTAAAACTCTTTGCTAGTGTGATCAAACTTAGAAAGTGGGCATCTGAAGGGATTGCTCGTTTTACTGTCCCCTTTAGTATCAATGTTCCCAGGATCCCACACTCTGCTGCTCTATGACACGTCTATTCACAACAGTTTCTAGTATTAACTAAAGTAATGACTTCTCATTCAGAAATGTAAGTAGATTCTGGTTAATGTACCAAGGATTGCATGGAGCTTCCATCCAGGCGTTGAGACACAGTTAATTTTATAGCAGTCTCTTTTGTATGTCGGCGCAAATGTATTTAATGAGCTGGCAATGGCTCTCTGCAGCTCGGCGCGTTTAACAAAGCACACTCATGGAGCCCGGTTAGACCCACATCGCCATCTAGCTAGTCAGAGGCAGTCCTCTATCAAAGGAAGGAAGCCAACTGGGTAAACTCCTTTTCATGTGCTTTGTAGCCCTCGCTGGCAAGGAACTCGCAATGCAGGTTAGGTCAGGCTGGCTTCAGACTCACAGAGGTCCACCTGCCTCAGCCTCTCAAGCGCTGGGATTAAAGAAGTGTGCCAGCACATCCAACCAGATTTTAATTTTATACTGCTTTCTTTTATGTCTCTGAGCATAGAGCCCCTTGAGAACTCATGTGGTTTACATCATTCTAAGCACTGGCAGAAAGATGTATGTTTTGGCTTACTTTAAGTTTTCAGGCCTTGACTTTCAGGTTAGGTACCTAGGCATCCAGAGGTGTCTTACTGGGCTGCTTTATAGAGAGGCAGGAGGAGGAGCAGAGTCAAATGTGGCCAGATCCTGGGGTGATTTCTGAGTGTCCGCGTGAGAGTATGGGGTTCAGAACCTTAGCACTGTGCTCAGCCCTCTGGGGATAGCTCTGAGAGCATTGGTCTCGCGTCCTATGACTGTGGCGGTGGCTGTCCACATGCACTGTTGACTCAGCAGAAGGCACCATGCTGAGTGCTCTCCCTCTCTGCCAGACTGTCATGCCGCTCTGGTCTGGTCGTAATTGTCTTGTTAATTGTATAAACTGTGTGGTCCTGCTATTTCTTAAAGTGAATGAGCCATGTAGCTTTTCCTCTTTGCCTAATCTGGACTGTGTTTGTACATGCATTCCTTGCTGACTGCCTTTGTCTCTATGAGGGTTTGACAGTGTCATGCATGTACATGTGAATTACAGTTATTCTTACCCCTACCTTTTCTTTTCTCCCTCCTTTCCATGCCACCAACCCTTCCCCACGAATCCCTTGCCCACATCTGTATCGTCTTGTTGTGTGGCCTGCCGTGTCTAACCAGAGCCCTCTATATGACCATGGATTTGGAACTGTTCCTTGCAGTTTGGTGGACTCTCATTGGGTGAACATCTGAAGATACTGACTGCTCCTTCTCCAGAGTCTTTCAGTAGTCAGTAGTTTAGCAACAAAGGTAGGGCCCCTTGAGACCCACTCACGCCTGACTGTTGACAAGGCTGTTCTTATCCCTGAGCAGTGCTGACAGCTGTAAAGTCCGCGGTGGTGACTGCTGAGTCATGCCAAGAAGCTCTCACTTCTGGCCTTCCTGTTTCCACTCTTAACAGTCCGTAAGCCTTAGAGATAGTGATATAATGAGCTCTTCTTTTTCTCAGCACTCGTCACCATGTATTGTAAAGAAGAGCAGTGTATCCTAAGGCAGTGTATCCATGGGTATTAACATTGATGATTAGAAGGAAGTAAGAGGCCTCTCCAGCAGTGCATTTTAAACTTACTCTTCAGTACCAGGCTTGAAGTATCTTGGAGATGGAGCCAGAAATCCAACCCGAGCAGTTTGCCCCCTGTAGGTGCTGCTGCTGTGGCAGGGGTACAGCCCCTCCCTTGCCAGAATTGAGTACAGTTAAGCCAGGTTTTCATGGAGTTCTTTTTGTTAAGTGACACTAACGTTGACTAGAAACAGCAACAGTAAAAGTGAAAAGAACTAAGGCAAGACTCAGCTGTGCTCACACTGTTGTGTGCCACAGCCCTTCTGCTGCCAGGCCAGACCTTGCTAGTTCATGCGATAGTTGTAAAAAAGAAAATCGTGGGCTGGAGAGATGGCTCAGAGGTTAAGAACGCTGACTGTTCTTCCAGAGGTCCTGAGTTCAGTTCCCAGCAACCACATGGTGGCTCACAACCATCTGCAATGAGACCTGGCGCCCTCTTCTGGCCTGCAAGGGATACATTCAGGCAGAGTGCTGTATACATAATAAATAAATAAACCTTAGGAAGGAAGGAAGGAAGGAAGGAAGGAAGGAAGGAAGGAAGGAAGGAAGGAAGGAACTAAGAAAACAACTGTTCTGCCCAACCTAGGAGTCACAGCACCACAGGACTCACCAGTGTGTCCCTGACACTTTCCTGAGGCACATGAGTGCTTGTGTTACTATCATTGTTTTCTGAAAAGTCTACAGGTGTGGTTCTTCAGATCACATCTCTGTCAGTGTGAGACGCCTGCTCTCAGGTGACAGATGAGTAGAACTATAGCTCATGTGTCTACCTCCACTTGTACTCTCCTGAAGGCCTGATCCCTGGCTTGATAGGAACTGTAACTGAAATAGGTACCTTTACCCACCTTGAAGGCTGGCTGTTAGGAGGTAGAAAGAGCCATCTGCTTGTGGAAATAATGACAGGGACACTGCATTTCCATACCTCTCTTATGAGAACCCTTGTTTAGTTCTCTTTGTTCTTAAGTTTGGGAAATACAGTGGCCCATTTAGCGATTCTATGATGGCCTCTAACTAGAGACCTGTTTGTTGCACCTTAAAGGGAGAGTACAGAGCAGTGTCTGAGCAGGCCCAGAGTGAGCCCGGTGTACCAAGGACACCTGGGGAACTTTACATGTTATCTAAGGTAAGGCCAGCTCTGTCTTTAAAGTTTCCCAAGTGATTCTCATGTATAGTCAAGACTAGGAATAAGTGAGCAAGCTGCATGTTTGCAGTGTACCTGAGTTCTGGAAACTGTAGAGGACTACCTGGGAACAAGTGGGCGGAGCCAGCAGAAGGCCCTCTAGGTCCCACTGTCTTCTGCTCACCCTATTCCCACCCTTTTTCCTGAGGAGTTCCGCATCGTCTGTCTTATGCAGTTTACTGGTGGGAACAAGGGGTTTCCTTGGTTTGTTCATTTGCCTTTTTAGTGATGAGGAAGGGGCATGCTAGGAATTTAATGCATGGCCTCACACCTAGTTCCCAGCATATGCTGCGGCCCAGTCCCCTTTAAACCTTGTAAGTTACTCGGGCTGGCTGAATTTATACTCCTCCCTTTGCAGCCCCAAGCAAGAATCTTAGGTATGCACCACTAAGTCCTGCAGAATAGATTTTCCTAAGCACAGTTCTAGTCACAGGCCTTATCTGAGAACAGCGGCTCAGGCACAAATCCAGTTTGCTAAGACTGCGAATGCAGACTCTTCCATAAGTACCTGTGGTCTGTAGCCTTTGAGGAAATAGCAAAAGAAAGGGAAATCTAATTTGTAGTAAGTGATAGTGACCCATGAGCTAACCCTTAAGACAACAGAGCAGTCTCAAATGGGACTGGACACTAACCACCAGTGGAGCCAATTTATTTCAGTGGCTTTAGTTGGCTCATACAATATTTTTTCTTTGGTTTACCCCAGGCTCCAACACCTCACAGTTTGTATTGATTTGCTTATCTTGGCCTAAGGTCTTTATTTAAAGACCTTAGAAAGTCACCTATCACCAGTGTGCTGTCTGAAGGGATGTTTTCATGTAGATCAGTAAAACAACCTATACTTGGCTGGTATAAGATGGTCTAACTGTAGTCGTGTCTTCTCAGCCTATACTTGGCTGGTATAAGATGGTCTAACTGTAGTCGTGTCTTCTCAGCCTATACTTGGCTGGTATAAGATGGTCTAACTGTAGTCGTGTCTTCTCAGCCTATACTTGGCTGGTATAAGATGGTCTAACTGTAGTCGTGTCTTCTCAGCCTATACTTGGCTGGTATAAGATGGTCTAACTGTAGTCGTGTCTTCTCAGCCTATACTTGGCTGGTATAAGATGGTCTAACTGTAGTCGTGTCTTCTCAGCCTATACTTGGCTGGTATAAGATGGTCTAACTGTAGTCATATGTCTTCTCAAGAATGTTTCAAGGTGTTGATATTTAGCAGACATTGGAAGAGCTGTGTTTTATTTCCCCTCCTCAGCAAAAAAGAAAAGACAGAAATGGTGTCAGCACTTAATAGAACGTTTGTGTAAGAAATGCATTGCTGTGAGCACTGTGCTGTGAGCACTGTTCCGGGGCTCTTACAGAAAGCACAGCACTGCACTTGACTTTGGTGGGCTCGTCAGCTCTAATCTAATGTAGCTCTCTTCTGCCTTTCCTTTTGCGTCTGGGTCACTCGTCCCCCTGGGCGGGTCTCACTGATGGGCACTGAGACTGTGGAGCAGATGCTTTCATTGCAGGTGCAGCCTTTGTGGCATCATTTGCCAGTTTTTGTTTTTCCCTCTTTTTTTTGAACATATTTGTTTTATGCTGTATCACAAAATGGATTTTTCTCATCTCACTTCTGAAAGTATTTGTCCCTTACAATTAATGAATAAGATGTGCATCCAAGGATATTTATCCAATGGCACCAACCAAATTTTTCATTTTTAAAAGCAGCCATGCCTTAAAAAATAGTTGGCAAGTCAGTTTTAATTCTTAAAAAGCTCATTTACCAAAGCAAACTAGTAAAATTAATAATAATAATAATAATCCTATAGCAATACTATATAATAAAATTACTATTAAAATTATTGCCAGTTTTTGGCCATTATACTCTTTCTTATATAACTTAAAATTTGGACCAGAAAAGTATAGAAAGAGCATAATTCTAAAACATACAGCATAACTTTTTTTTCTTTTTGTAGCATTAATCTTATCACTGGTCATTTAGAGGAACCAATGCCAAACCCTATAGATGAAATGACAGAAGAACAAAAAGAATATGAAGCCATGAAACTTGTCAACATGCTTGATAAACTTTCCAGGTATTGTATTCCCATCCATTTTTGCTTGGTTTCTAAGAATGTTCTATTTCTTTGTCTCTCTCACTGAGAGTTACCATAGAACAACATGGAATCCATGTCTATCGGAACAGGGAGGCCCAGGCAGCAGCAGCAGCAGCAGCTAGGTGCCGCCCACGGTGTTTCTACACTTGCCGCTCTGGGTGTGCGTCCCTGGAACATGTCAACACTTAGTGCTGAGCAGGAATTAGCTGTGGCTGTGCTATTAACCCACTAACCTCCCTGTCATCAAAAGAGTGCTTTGAGTTAGGGTCAGTCACTTTGCTGCTTCTTGTATTTTTGTTTCAGTCTGTTTTGGTTTTCATTTGAAACCATGGTATGCTTTTTCTCTTTTCCTTTTTGATGTGCAAGTTTGCAATATTGCTTTTTGAGTTGCTGCTGAAACCAAGAATTCTAAGATGCCATATAGTCTTCAGGAAGAAGTGAAAAGAAATGGCATAAATAAAGGACTTTTTTAAAGCAGGCACTTGTACTAATTAGGGGTTCCAAAAACAACCAGCCCCTCCCCTCCTGCTTCACACCTCCTTCCTTTCCAAAATAGCCTGTTTTGTAAATAGTGAAATCAGGGCTTGCTAACCAACAACTCTTTGGGGGCGTTTTTTTAGAAGAAGATGAGTGAGTGTTTCTTTGTGTTGGTGACAGCCACCATGTAAAGGTGAATCTCTTGTGCTCATCTCATTTCACATAACCATAAAGGCTGCTATTCATCCATCAAGAGAAATAACAATCGGAATAGAACAGCTAGAGACTAGCCTTGAGAAGGGAAGGGGCTAACAGGAAAGAATAGGTTCCATTTGTAGCCAGAGGCTTAGCTGAGCAGAGAAATGGATGACTGTGGGTTGACAGAATTATAGCAGATAAGGCTTTAGCTTTCTAGATGACAGTGATCATGTGTAGAATCTGCTTAAAAGTAGCTTCATTATCTACAAAGTATTCTAGAACTTGTTGACTTCTGGCTACTCCTAAATTTTTGTGCTTTCCCAGCATTTGTCCTGTTTGCAAATTACATTTTCCTTAATATTTTATATAACGAGTTTTTTCCAAGAAGGAATTAATAATAGTCACAGAGACTGTTGCTAGAGCAGACCTATTTAAGCAGAATAATAACCTCTATGTGAATACATAAAGATAAAATCTGCCCGCTGGGAAAAGAGTTCCGTGCTAAAGTACAGGCCCCTGGGTTCAGTCCCCAGCACCCTCCCCTCCAGAAAAAGAATATATGTAAGAATAAGTTGTATGTGCATGACAGCATCCAGATGGGTGAAACATGATGGTATAAGTAAATTAGAATGAAATCAGTAGATCCATCTGGTGGAAGCTAGAAAGGAAATTGTTAGCAAGGACTGGGGCAGAACATGTTAATGTTTAACACAGTAGATCACTCAGGTAGTATAAATTTCCTGTTGTGTCCATAGGAGTTGCTGGGAGTTAGCACAGATGCTGTGTAGCTGGTTCACGTAAACCTGCATGAGGAAATGCCCAAGCCTAAAACAAAAAAATGAGGAATAAACTGCCCAAGATAGTACAGTGTAATCTGGATCCTTGGCTTATTTATAGTTGCATCACCAGTTTCATCAAGTGCCCTATTAATTCACATAAAACAATTCTCGTTTGAATCTCAGAGGAATCTACATATTTTATACATATTTTAGAAGCTACTAATAAACAAACACATAAGTATTAACTCTGAAATGCCTAACTTCCACTTAAGCATATCTAAAAGAAAACAAAGATTCACCGAGAAGCACCCGGCAGGTGCCCGGCTCCAGCTGAAGGTGGTCCTGATGCTCACATGTCTAAAACAGAGCCAGTATGTCTGTGTTGACTTTGATGGAACCTATTTTGCCATTAAAGTTGAAACGAAAGTAAATTTGAGAATAGTCTTAAGCGGTGGTGACTCTTTGCATGCAATGTGGTGGGTTTTGCATTGTCTGCCTGTGTGTGCTTTCTAACATTTACTTTCTCTAATAATAGTGGCAGCTGAATGGAGGTCAGCAGTAGGCTTTCCAGAGCAAGAATGCACAGAATGGAACCATTCCTTCATGTGTCTTTACTGTTTGTTGTGCTAAATTATTCATTAGTCTTAAGCTTAATCTCTCTTTTCACTTTTTCTTATTTTTGATAAAATAAGAAAAAATAAGATTCCATACAGCCAAGTAGACTTAGGTTCAGTATCCTACGGGGAGCATTTATTCAGCAGCTCCCATGGGCAGGACACTGAGCTAGGAGGCAAGGGAGATTTGGAGATGAGTAAGGCTTTTTTTTTCTTTTGGAAAACTCATACTCTAGTGGGAGAAATGGCTGTATAATTAATTTCAGAATGCAAAGTAGAAATGGTGACAAGTTATGTGTTGAGCTGTATCCCCCAAGGAAAAGGACCAGTTCTCTCTGTCCAAGTGGTTCAGGGAGTCTTTCCCAGGGAAAGGAAGTAACCTACGGGCTGCTCATGAAGTCTAAGAAGTATTCTAGAGAGAAATGGAAGTGGCCGTTCATTATAGGGAGAGAGACTTAGTCCTTTTAAATCTTTGGACTTCACTTACTGCATCTTTCTTCCAAAGAGCTCAAGTGGCATGCTAACCTCACTGACCAGTGGGAAATACAAGGACCACAGAAATGCCCAAAACATTTCCAAGCAGGTGGCTGCTGATAATCCATTTTCTTTTGACAGTTTACAAAACACTCACCTGTGCGTGCTCTCTCCAGCTCTAAGAGAAAGAGGAAGTAGGAGCTTCATTTTGTAGAACTCCAGGCCTTTTCTCTGTCCACTGTGTTCCTGTGTCTATGTTACAGTGTTTGCTAGAACACTTCTTAGTCATCCTATCGGCAGCTTTTCCTGCACCTCAAAAAGAAAGGCATGTGAGTGAAGGATAGGATTGGAGGTGATGTGGCCAAGGCATGGACACTGGACACTTCCTTTTTTCATCCGTAGGAGAGCAGATGTGAAGGACCAGCCCCACGATGGTGGTTAGCAACAGCGGCCCGTGCCAAAGCACTTACCAAAGTGATTACTAAGGTTGGTCAGCCAAGTACTATTCCTGAGCCTGGTGTAGGCTGTAGATGTCACTCCTGTGAAACTTGAGAGGTCATATTTCCATCTCACCTTCACGCTAGACACAGCTCTGAAGAGTCCATGTCCCCAGCATCTTTATCCCAGCGAGGATAGCGAGGTGGCGAGGAAACTAGTGCTTAGAAGCTTCCCATGGAGAATGGCCGGAGTAGCATCCTCAGTGATGTTAGGTCTGTCTGTGTTAGCTGTTTCTAGTTCTTTGTGCCTCTGGAGGCTTCCAGGGCTAGGAAAGTCATGTCAACCCTGTAACTCCTGTACTGTATACTAGCCAGTGCCTTTTGCCCTGTGGTTTCCCAGTGTGCAAGGCTGGAAAATGGAAGTGGCTGACCCCTCAGGTTGGAAGTTGGTTTTTGGGTTTTTTTTTCTTATTAAAATAACCTGCAGGGTTCAAGGCTTCAAAGTGTAGTTGTCAGTTCCATTTCTTAGCCAGACTTCAGAAATGTGGGCCATGGCTGGCTAATTTAAATAAGTGATAAGCATTTCTTTAATCTAGAATGATAAGTATAATATTCAGCCGTCAAGCCTGAAGTGTAAGATTACAGAAAACTTCATGTGACATTTACAACTTGCCTGCCTCTCCACCTCCTCTCTCCTTAGACTTTGAAAGCAAAAACTAAGCCCTGCACTCAAGCAGGAGACTGGAATGGTGCTTGTGTGGGTAGGAAGTCCAGGGTCCCTAGCACAGCTGCCTGTACCTAGCAGCAACACACTCGCACACTGATGATGCCAAGGGCAAGAGCTTTTTAATTACAGTTTTGGTTCTACTCCTCTAATCCCCTTTATTTCCTTAATTGACACCAGATGGATTGATTTTATACTCCCGTCTCCCTCTAGCACTGTTCATCAAGGCACTTTGTCTATTTGCTTATACCAACAAACACTGTTTTAAATTGTATATAAATAAATGAACAAATAAAGAAGCCTATTCTGCCACCGCTTCCTTCTCTCATCCATTCTCTGCCCACTAACCATGCTTCCCATCCCACCCCATTTTCGCCAGCCATATTGATATATGGGACATGGCTTTCATAATGCTGGTACCAAATATAAGGTTATGGTGATTTACAGCTGGAGAGTAACAGAAAGTAACTTTTTTCCACATAACTAAATTCTACTGCTCATCTTACAAAAATACCAAAGCCTGTAATGCACATGGCTTTGTGTGTAGTCTAGGGTGCGCTTGCTTTTCAGGTACGTTTCAGAAACACAACCCACCCTTTCAAAGCATTTAGGTACCAGAGTTTGAAGACCTTAATGGTTCAGGTCAGGAGACCCTTTGGATCTGCACTGTCCATTGTGGGACCCACTCGTTCATGGCCACTGAACACACTAAGTGTGATTAATCCACATTAGGATGTTCTCTAAACACAAAAAGAGAATGGAAAGTATCTCATTAATTATTTAGTAGATTGTGTGTTTAAAATGACCAGTTTTTCTATGGGACTAAATGCAATATACCATTGAAATCAACTTACCCACTGTACTTTTCTGCCTGGGTCGCTGGACTTGAATTTCAGCATGCAGCTTCCAGGGTAGTGGCTCCAGTTGTGACATGCAGCACTGTCCTCCGTCACTAAGGTTCTGTGAGAAGCCAGTTAAGGGAGCTTAGTACTTTGTATGCCGAGACCACCTTACGAGAGAGAACGGGGATTACTTGGAGAAGCTTGAGTCTACACATCTTTAGGTCATAGAGGGCTATCTCAGTGGCTGAATGCCTGAGTAGGGTGTGATGCACCCTTTTTATTCCTTACTGTAAGTCACTGAATGCTTGCTTAAACCAAGCTGAAAGGGCTTTTGACAATTAGCAAAATGTGAAATGAAAATCGCCTCCCTCCTAGTTGCCTGCCATTTACCGTTCAAATCTTCCTGATTGGAGGTGTATTAGAGCTTCCATTTGTGCTGCTCCTTCAACAGAGTTCACTGGCATGTAAACCTCACTGAATTTTGTTAATTTAGACAACAGGGTAGAAAAGCTTTCTAGTAATGTTACCAAGAACTAATAAGAGTGCCGTTAGTTAGGGCTAAAACTAAATTATGCTCTTTGAGTGCTCTCCCTGATCTCACCCTCTCATGTGCTCTTAGCTGTGCTAACTAACTCGGGGCCACAGCAGATTTTTTTTTGAAGCTTTGCATGTTATCTTCTAACAGAAATGAGAATCATACAAAACTAACTTAGTGTTCCAAAGTGTAAAAAGTGCTTCTATATGTGCTCCCTGGTGATCTTTTAAGACAGTTCTGTGATCTAAATAGCATGAGAAGTGTTTTTATTAAGAAGTGAACTATCAAAGGTTAAGTGGCTGACTCAAGAGCAGTCTCAAAACCCCCAAATATTATGCTATTTTGAAAAATGACCAGCCACTTTGAGAAGTTTGTCAGTCTGATTATTTGTAAATGAGACATAAGTTTTAAATAAATACAAAGCACCGAAAACCAACAGTGAGTGTGTGTACTTAGACAGACTGCAGATTATAGTGGAGATGTATCACACACCCCGATTTCCTACTCCATATCAGATGCTGCATCGTTAGTTAAAGAACTAGTTTTATGAGGGAAACAAAGTTCTAAGATGCCCTGGTAAACTGGGTTCTGATATTATTTGTAAAAGAGAGTGAGTAAGGTGTCCTAACAGACCCTTGCTTGTGATCACATCACTACCTCTTAACTCTCAAATGGCTTTCCTGTTGAAATTGTCAGGCAATTCCCAATCCCATTACAAAGTGCAAGGGTGTGTGATATAAATGGTACACCATGTCCATTTATCTTGGGATTGACATATTTACTTTCCCATCATTGCTCCAACTTAGAATGTAATGTTAAGGTCTGAGGGAAAGGTCTCACAATTATTTACTAAGATGTAATTTGAAGACCTTTTGTTTGCTGTTGAAAAGCCACCATTCCCATTATTCCTTGTCTGTTAATGTCCTGGTGAAAGACCACAATAAGGAGGTGCACTAGGAAGCCATTAGAAGCAGTGTCCACACCCAAAGGCCACTCCACTCACAGTATCCAACACACTTCTGTAACTTTTTAGGTAAGAAGGGTTGTCACCAAGAGCGAGAAACCCTGAACACTTGAGAGGCCTGTGACTACTTGAGTCATGCTCTCCAGACTTGGAGTTCAGCAGGCTCTGCAGCACTACACCGTCTGGACTGCCAGGGGCTCCATCCCCATAGGCATCTTATGTTAATTAAAATACTTCATTTATATATTAATGCCTCGTCCCATCTTTCAAAGGTGAAAGGAATTAAGTATGAAATGGCTAATTTAACATGTCAGGGCTCTTTCTCCAGGCCAACCTCACATTAAGAACAGGAATCCCTGTGCCAAAGTAATGGTTCCCAATTATCCTGTCTCAGGTTTTGTTATACATTGAACAGAAGTCAGCAAAACAAGTATGTAACAGAAGCTGGCTAAATAGCAGCACCCTCATTAAAACAGAGAATTAATCAGGGGTGATAAAGGAAGCAATGCTGCATAGGTTTCCCCTTTTCTTCTTTTCTAATCATAGAACAAGATATGGGACACAAAAGGATCAGAGCTGTTGTGCAGTGCTCAATTAGAGGGAGGTGAATAGGTCTCTAACATGCTGTTTTATCAAAAGAGCAGACTGGTGTTTGCATGATTGTTGTTTCATTACAGACCCTGTCATTAATTCCATGTGTCAATACTGCCCTGTAGTACACAGAGCAGACAAGAAAGAAGAGCCCTTGAAAACAAGGGAATGATTTTTGAGTCGTTATCAAGCTAAGTGGCAAGCGGGAAGCTGAAACTCGTATAGGTAAATTCGAAGGGACTCTTGGGAGATTTGCTAGTGGGAAACAAGGATGTGTTTTACCAACTGCTTGATTATGTCCTGCTTTAACAAGTGCACTTGAATCGAATGCTTTGTTTATATTGCACAAAATGTGTGCTGTGGGCAAGAGTATACTCTTGCTTCCAGGTCAAGTAAGGTGTTACACACATCTGACCTATTCTATAACATGCAATGCTACGTGCAATTAGGCATGTTACTGTCTGAGCCCTAATATTACACCATCACTACTGGGGGTGTCATGTAGGAATTTGAAGCCCTACAACACTGTGACCATCTCTGAGTTCTAAGGAGCTATCACAAAGTGCCATCCCAACAGGAAGATGTTAAAAGATCTGGAAAAAATGTTTAAAACACAGAAAAATTTAAATGTTTGAATTCCCTGAGTCCCCCATTTTTGGTTTCCATTGGCAGTCCCTGGGTTAGGCTGGGGCAAATAGGGTTTCTTTTCTTGGACGTGCACTATCTGTGTCCTCTTGCCTGGCCACACCCTTTCAGACTATGGTTCCTTATCGTCTAGTAAGATCAAATTTCTAAATGATGTTTCGTTCCAGTTGAACATTCTTGGAGGCTTATCTCTTCCCTGGCCAGATGCCTGATCAGATGAGAAGCCCGCCATGATACTGTCACAGTGCCTAGAATGGGCTCTTTATCCAGTAGACATCACTGTACTTTTTGGTGATAACGGGGGCAGTCTTAACTGTGTTAAGGCCTGTGTATAGCATTGAAGGTAAGTATGAAGCAGTTATTGCTATGTGAATATCTTAATACTGATACACATTTCAACCATGATGTTTATTGGACACTTGGCCATCATTGTTTAGAGAGGACCTTCGTAAATTTAGGACCAGTAATAACTCTTTATAAAATGATGCAGTGAGGGCCATGATGCATTCTGGATCCTTTTGAGGTACTTGTCATTTCGTTCTGCTGGCAGATTGCAGAAGGAGTTTTGTGATCATGGTATTTGTCATTGACAGGCAGGTGCTATGTCTGACCATTAGGTTTGGAATACCTTGATTAGGAAAAAAAGGCCTAGGATGGTGATTTTGAGTGTCTTAACACCCCAGGAGCTTTTTATATGATTGAAATTATTTCGTGACTTGATACTTATTCTTAAAAAATCATTATATAGTGGGGTCATCTTGTCCAACTCCTTATTTTATAGCTCACAGAGGCAAATGGCTTGTTCAAGGATTTGTAACAGATTAGCAGAAGATGTGAGGCTAGAATCTAGAACTCCTAATATCTTGGTCATAAGATGTGGAATCTGTACCAGATGGGAGTTGAGAGCAAGAAAGCCTGACTTGTGCTGGGCGGAGAGCATCGTCTGGTGATGTTGACCCATCGAGGGTACCGTCACAACTAGCAAGAGAATGCTCCCTGGCACATTGTCCTCTGCCATTGTCCATTTATGCCATGACCCATGAACTATAGCCTACTGTGTGCTCTGTCCTAGACTAGATATGTGAAAATCACAACTGGGGAAGACATGTACACTGCCTTCCAGTTGAGCAGTCTACTTGAGAGCAATTAAGTCCTTGGACAGCATTCGGCAGGGTTTCCTGTGGATTAATAGTCCTTCCCTGATCCTGTGAGAGAGTTTCCTATGGATTACTAGTCCTTCCTGATCCTGTGAGGGGATTTCCTGTGGATTAGTAATCCTTCCCTGATCCTCTGAGGGGATTTCCTGATCCTGTGAGAGGGTTTCCTGTGGATTACTAGTCCTTCCTGATCCTGTGAGAATCATGTTCTTCTGTGGATTAGTAGTCCTTTCTTGATTCTATAGCAGGGCTTCCTGAGGACTGTCAATCCTTTCCTGAACCCACAAATCTTAATGAAAGCAATCTGTTCACAGATTTATCCTGTGTCCTATTTGTGGCTTAGTTGTGAGGAGCTTATATGAGACGTGACTTACGTAACAAGACCAGCTCACAGGTGCCTAACTGAAGAAGCTGTGCTCTCTGAGGCCCTGTGCCAGAACACAGGAGGACTAAGAACCGACTAAGCACAGCACGGAACACAGTTTCTTCTAATGTGTCAGCATAGTATTGTTTGCAGCTGTCAAACTCTGGAGTCATGGTTTTTGATAACGAATACTCTGAAGTGCCGAGGGTGGCCCTTGAAACAGGAGACAAAAATCCCTTGGTACACAGTCCAGTTCCAGCTTTGGAACCCGGGTTTCTACCCCTTCCATGCCTCGTGGCACTTTTGAACTTCCGTTTCCTTTTTCCTCAGCTGAGCCGACATGCGTGCCAGCCCTGCATGTGACCAACTCTCGCTTGTGTGCCTTTGCTTGACTAACCCTGCTCCTGGGACGTCATGTCTTCACTGCCGTTAGTGTGGCCTCGAGTCTGCCTCCCTCAGGGCCCTGCAGGGACATGCCCCCCCCCCCACGCATGCACTTGGGACAGTGAAAGAGTCCTGCTGTGGTGGTCACGGCACGTCCCATTCTCTGTCCATTTCTTACTGACCTGACACAGATGCCAGTGAAACCCACCAGGATCAGCAGTGAGTCTCAGCAGAGCTCAGCTGTGGTGTTTAGGTTGCCGTACTAGCTTTAGGATAGAGATGAAGAGCAGAAAAGTTGGACTTGAGAGTACGAGAAGCAATCCAGGGCCCATGGATAAAGCAGTCACAAGCTAGTAAATGATCCATTCCTGCTCCCCAAACAGGACAGAAAATCTCTTTGAACACATTTCACAGACAGCAGGGTTGGCTCTGCCTGTCAGTCATCCTAAACTTGTTGATCTGCTGTCCTGTAACCCTTTCGATTGTGTGCGTGCGTGCTTGCGTGTGTGTTATCTTCCAGAGTGACTAAAGCTTCTTGAGGACAGGAGCCATGTCTCTTGCTTCTGCACATCCCCCCGCCACACACTATTTTATCATAAGGGGAAGCCTTCTGTAAACACAAGGAAAAGGCGTACAGCTCGTGCGTTCCAGTTATATCCCAGCCATTCCCCTGCGCACTTTGTGTGTGCAGTCTGTGGTCTGTGCATTCATGATCGCTTAGTGAGGTGCTTGTCTCTGCTCCAGTTCTACAGAGAATGAAATCAAAGCTTAGAGTTTTTGAGGTCTTGCAGTTACTGAGTTCTAGATCTAGAATTAAAACCCAGGTCTGGCTTTGGAACCTGTATATGCTTTTCAGGCCCCACAGTAAACACTCGCATCCTCTCCAGCTCCCAGAGCTCTTTGAGCTAAACTGTTGCTGCTACCACTGCTGTGCTGCGACCTCCGTGTCATCACTGGGAAATAGGCAGAGCTAGTATTGCGATGCACCCATTTTACAGATGGGGAAACTAAGATTTCACTGCTGGTAACTGAAAGAGTGCAGACCTTAGATTTGCTAACTTACAGTCTGTTCGTTCTTCCCACACATCGTGTTGCTGCCTTTAGTTTATTTGCATGAATGCATGACTGTGGCCACGTTGCACCGATTCCTTTTCCACAGAAATATCAGTACAAAGAAACATTGCATGGAGCCGTGTGGAAAAGAAAATAATTCATACCTTCTGAGGGGTTTCCGTTTTAATGGAAGGTGATACAGAGCACCCCCTAAATGCTCGAAAGTAGTTCACAAGTGAGAATGAGACAGTGGGTGCCCTTTGTTCCATAAATTAACTATTGTAAACTGACCATAAAACTCTGTAAGATTCTCAATTATTCCTAGTTGTAAAGTTGGGCTAGAAGTTAGGAATAGAGATAGCAGACTTGATTAGGAAATACTCTTCCTGGGTTTATATAGAAAGTAGCTGAGTCGTTCACATTCTGGCAGCTAGTCCTAGGGCTGACTGTTGTTTTGGAAACGTAGTTGTCAGTGCTGCTGGTGATGGTGCGTCTGTCTCTGGCAGGGCCCCTGGCGGTTCTCCTTCCTCTCCTCCATTCAGTCCCTACCATACCTCCCTGCCCTCCGTTTCCAGCACCTTTAAACCGAGGTCATTAGGGTTTTCAAGTTTTTTGTTTGGTTGGTTGTCGTGGGTGTGGGTTTGGGTGTGGGTTTGGCTTTACAAGCCAGGCATCTGTCCTGTGCTCTGGCTCCTGTAGTAGTGTCATAGCCTTCATACCTGCCCTGGGGCCATAGGGACACTACCACTCCCCTCTCCACACCTACATGAGTGTGAGCCCGCAGACACTGCAGGGTGAATGCCAAGCTCCTTCCTTTGGCCCTGCTACCCCTCCCTTGCCCCGCACTGCCTTAGACCCTGTCTTCCCTAATGCTGCTTCCTTTTCTAGCCATGCAAGAGCACAAAGCGGCAAAAGCGAATTAGCACAGTCACACATGGCAACAGGGCCTTCCACAGGCTCCTTTGCCCAGCACAGGATGTCCCTGTGGTCTGTGGTAGCTTCTCTGCCCCCCCAGCTGGTGTGGCCATGCTTCTTCTCGGGGCCACAGTGTAAAGTCCACAGTTCTCTCAGGACATTGACCCCACGTGTGCCCCAGGTCATCGTGGGTTTGTTTGTCCATCAGCAAGGGCAGCAGCTGCCACTTGTCTTACTCATCTGCCCAGCAGGTGGCGGTCCCTGTCACGTGGTTGTTGAGCAGTGAACTCAGCTGCTTTTCCATGCAGTTAGGGCAGCCAGTTGAGACGGGCTCACAGCAGAGAGCACTGGACTAGGGTTCAGGAGACCTGTCGCACGCCCAGCTCTGCCACTCAGGGGCCCCTTTGCAAGGGGGTCGCACTAAATGATCTGTGAGACCCCTTCCAACTTCAAGCTGCATGACTTCCATCGTGTCCCTGAGTATAACACGCGGGAACCTTGCTTTAGCCAGCAGACAGCCGTCCACACTTCCGGACCCTGGTCTCAGCAGAGCCGCTTGCTGAGGGCCTGCCACTTTAACCCAGTCACCGGGCTGAGCCCACCTCCCAGGGTCCCTGCCAGCTGTGTAGCTGCCCTTTCCCAAGAAGGAGCCCTTCTTTGTGTTGCCTGAAGGGACAGTACCAAGGAGAGAGGCCAACAAGGGTTATTGTTTCCCTCACACCACAGCCCACCAGCACGACAGCTGCTGCTCCATGATCTCAGGCAGTGGCGCCCATTTCCATGGGAAATAGATTTGAAGGCTCCTGGGCCTCTGACACCTGCCCTCTTAAGTGCACTCCTAGCCTGTCGGGAGTGGAAGCATTGGAGTTACCAACTGAATAGGTACATTCGTCACAATCTCTATGTAATATAAATAAGGCCTATGAAAAGATTAAATAAATCTTCCTGGTGCTTTTTGATTGGCTTAATCAATAATTAACCATCTTAGATGAGGCTGTAACTTGTGGAGTGGATACAATTGGATTAGGTGAAGACAGTTGGGGAGCTTTGAAGAGATTAAAAATGGCTGTCAATCCCATAATTAAACTGCCACAAACAAAAGCAATGGTGTTTTAAACAAAAAGAAGGAGAGAGAGAGAAGGAAAGAAAACCTGGAGAAATCCAACTGATTTGAAATGAGTCAACAAGCGTCCATGAGTTAAAGCCGTGGGAGCAAAACCAAATTTGACAAATTGATTCCATTAAATGAAACGTGTGCTTAATTCTAAGTTAGGCAGGTGAAACTCTGGCAGCTTCAACTTCTCTAAAACAAATGAATCCACAAGAGGGGGAAAAAGGTAATTATTCAAACAGAAGAGACCTGCTCCTTGTCCTGAGCCCATTTGGACCTTGACTTTTCATCCTTTAATTGGCTTAGTAGGTTTGGCTGTGTGAATGAAGTCTTTCATCCTCTCTTTCTTCCCATGCCCCTTTCATCTCTGTCACACACACACACAGAGCTGAGAGAAAATACTTTGGTTTTTAAAGACTTCTCTTTTAAAAGGATGTGGATCTAGGTGGGGGAGGGTGTGTGTGTGATGCTGGTGAATACTTTTTTTTTCTTTCTTTTATCTCTTTTTCCAGAGAGGAGTTGCTTAAACCAATGGGACTAAAACCTGACGGGACAATAACGCCTTTGGAGGAAGCACTCAGCCAGTATTCTGTCATCGAAGAGACCAGCTCTGACACAGACTGAAAAGCATCATCACCTGCTCCACTCTCTGTGGCTTTTATCAGCGTCTTTTCTTGGTAGCTCCAGGGGAATCTTTCTCTCTAAAACATTTATGCCCTTGCTTTGGCTAGAAACACATTAGCTGGTTTACTCGTTGAGAACCCAGCGTATTTAAAAGGTGGTCCTGTGTTCTCTGCAACACTGAGACGTCACACAGAGCAGGAGTTAGACAGAGTTGTGGGCTAGCAGCAGAGGCAGTCATTCCATTTCGTGAGGAAGCAGCCCTGGTCCAGGCTGGTAGTCTTGTTGCCAGGATTCCTAGGCGAAGATTCATCCATGTCCTTCCACCCACTTGTGTAAACCATCCCTTCCACGTCTCTCCAGCAACCCCAAGGCACATGAGAGCCCGAGGAGCTGGTAAACAAGGGCTGAGGCCAGTGACTCCTTAGGTCAGCAGTGACTGTGTGGAAGCCAGGCAGCTGCTCCGTGAGCCCAGCCCCACACTTCATTTCAGCTTTCTCTAGACGTGGAAACACACAGAGCCCCAGACTTACAAACCTGTTACACTCGGAGAGTTTGTATGTCACTTAGTTAAAACTTGAGAGTACATCTCTCCTATGAGGAGTTAAAAATGATGGTTTCGTTCCAGGCAGCTACATGTGCCTATTTACCCCCAATGTTCCTGAACACTACATGCACCGTAGGGCTGGACCACCATCTGTACCACTGCATCCAGAGCGTGCATTCTGAGGTCTCACTCAGGGTGCCAAGTACATACTCATCCTCCAGGCAACAGAGAGGATGGGGCTCCCCGAGTAGTGGGAGTTCTTTTGTGGCCTGTGCTGGGGGTAGGGAGCCAACAGCACCCATTTGTACATAAAGGTCATTCGTATGTCACATGTTTTAACAAGGGTCTCTGTGTGTATTTGTGTGTGTGTTCTTTCTACCATATGTGATCAGTTTAATGGTAACCTTATTTATTAAAAAAAGAAACACAAATAGTTACTATTAAACTGATCAAGGCTGTTAATTTTTACTCTTAGAATGATCATATGAAGTAGACGTGCAATCATGTAGACAGCAGGCCAAGTTGATCAGTGGCTAAAGTTGAAAAGGGGTTGGTTCCTTTCATATATGTATGTATGTGTACATACACATACATACACATATGCACACACATAGATTATGTGCTTAACCACTGCCTTTTAAAACTTTAAATTAAATAAAACATTGGGGATGATTCAATTTAGCCATCTGTGTGTGTTTCTTTATGGATCCATGGACTAACGATGCCATTGCACAGTTTATGTTTTAAAGTTTCTCCATCTGTTGCCTCTCTTGTCATCACGTACCCTCTCTAAAAGACAGTGTGCACAGTACTGTGAGAACGCCATTCATCCTAAATTGTTGTTGACAAAACCACACATCAGGAATTGAATTGTAAAAGGCCTTTGAGCTGCCAGAGAGATGTCAGTCAGTTTCTTAAAATTTACCCAGAGGGAACCTTAAAGAACAGTGGCATCACTAAGATTTACGTTCATGTCTAACGTGATTGCTTGGCCTTGCCCCCACCCCACACAAGCAGAAAGGGAGTTTCCCGGAGTTAAAGCCAGCCGCTGAAGGTGAAAGAAGCCAGCTGGGTCTAGCGGGCCTGCAGCACCCATCCATCCATCACGGCTCAGATGGGGCCAGAGTGCCTGCCGCCATGGGAGAGAAGCCCTGCCCAGGAGAGCAAATCTGGGACTCTGCTTACCTAAGAGCACCCAAGCTGACCCAGAAAACAATGACCATAGACATATTTTCCTAATGGTGGCCCTGAGCTGCTGTAACAGAATAAATCAAATTCAGAATGCTTTGTAATCCACTAGGAAGAGTTACGTGTGTTATAGGATTTTTATCCACAGTTGTTGGGAAGAGCTTGTGGTCCATGTTTTAGCCAATGGCATATAAAATTTTCATTTTATTTGGCAATTCATAATTTTAGCTTAAAAAATCAGAAAAAGGGAATTTAATTAACTATTTTGTTATTTCATTCTACAAATGCGTTTTGAAAGTATTTTTGTAATCTGTGGTCAGGTAGCTTTTCCATGAGTATCAGCCTAATAAATCAGGCCATGCCTGCTGAGATGCCCCTGGCTGCGCTGCACCTCGTGCTGCATAGTGCTGCAGTGAGGGTGCTCCTAGGCTCCCGGTGAGCTCTCTCACTGTGCAAATCTCTCTGCTACTGGGCACTTCTTTCTCTTAAGGGGTAGTTCTTAGAAAGAAGATGGAGCAGTTTCACCTTGCACACAAAGACCTCTGAGCACCAAGTTCCGTGTCTCCTCTATAACTTCACCCCATCTCACGGCAACTTCCCCTTAGTTCCCAGCCCGGCAGCCCCCCAGAGTCCAGCTGCAGGCGCGCTTGACTTAGCACCTCCCCCACGAATGCCTGACCACACAGCCAGAGGCTTTGAGATGGAAGCAGCCCCGGCTGCCCAGAGTGGTGGTTCGTAGGCCATTTTAAGCAATAACCTGTAGCAGAAGCAGTCTTGGACTTTCCCATCATGGAGGTGCCGGCATGTGAGTGAGAAGCATGGTCAGTTAGCAGAGTTCCACGAGGACCTGGGCACCCTTAGGTCAGAGACAGTGATGTGGGCCACTCCCTCTGCAGTGACAATGATGGGGCAGTGACCACTGCAGTCTCTAGCCCTCTGCCCACACTGCACTTTGAAAGGATGGGTGAGGAAGTATACCCTACAACAAGGCATTCGAGCTGCTTGAAGGAATAGTTCCCAGGTGGTTGTGACCCTTTCAGGTACCCAGGGGCCCTCAGTGGCAGACATGGCAGATGCCACCCTTCCTTCATGTATGACAGGCCAAAGCTTTGCAAGGGACTAAACGGCGCTTCAGCAAGCACACGCACTTGCTGCCTCCTAGGACTAGGTGTCAGCATGCACCCCCTTGTCTGTCAAAGACATACCTGCTCCTTACATAATGTTTGGAAAGTGCAGGAAACAATAAGACTCATCATCGGCCCAGAGTCGTCCCTCCCTGAGCTTCCGTGTTGATGTTTAGTGTCTCCCCTTCCTGTGTTTTTCTATGCATATATAATTTATTTTACTACAAGATTGGGATCATGCTGTGTTTACAGATTTGTACCCTGCTTTCTTTAACATATTGTGAGCATTTTCCCATACCAATAAATATTCTTCAAATGTTAATGGCTATGACATTCCATTACATGAAGTGTGGCAAACACTGCTGATCACCACAGCAAATATTACAACCTTTAGGTCCCGCCCATTAAAAAGATGTTGCCTTTTGTCTTTTGGGAAGGCAGCCTGGGCCTCTACACAGTAAAGCCACAGCAACTGGAATAGCTGGGGGTTGCAGGCTCACCCAGCTGTGTAGCTCTGTCCAGAAGCCGTGGTAGCATGTCACAGCAGCAGAATTAAGTGCTCAGAAAGTCTTGCAAAGCGGGTAGCAAGGGTGCCCGAGGACTTGGAAATCAAAAGGTGCTAGCCTTGGCTGGCAGGGAGCCTTGGGTACCCACTGTGGTTGCAAGGTGGGGAGTGCTCAGGGGTGGAGAGTGACTGCTCTTCAGGAAACCCAACGTGACACCTGTTGGAGTGTGCCGGGCACACTGGAGGAGGAAGAAAGGAATCGTGTTCGAGGAAAACGTCATGAAGGTGAAGTGTAACAGCTGAGAGACTTGAGAAAGGAGGAGCTCCTGGAAGGACTGGAAGATGTGTTGGCGTGCTGCTGAGCCTGGCGCTGTTTCCACGGCGACCTGAACAGATGCTTTGTAATTGACATTCCAACTTCAGCATGAACTTGACATGCACAGGAATAAGCTTTAATACACGCTCCTATGTATTGTACTTTCCAGAAAGACAGCAGTGCCCAAGCACCCATATACTGCATAACCAGTGCCATGGGTACGTAAGCACTGCATATATACACACTGATGTGAGGGACACATGGAGGTTTGTTTCTGAGCTTTACCGTATTCGTGGTATCTTTTTGCCTGTTTGTTTTCCTGTCAAAATACACAATTCATAGGCATTGTATGGGAAGGAGATGCTGGAAATTCAAGCTTTAAAAAAAGTCTTATAATTAAAGACTTAAAACTTGTGGTAACGAATATCAAAAGAAAATCAAAATTTTGCTTATTTGAAGAGCCTGGAGGTATTCAAGGGAAACATATGAGCCATACTGAGGAAGGGGTGCAAATGTAATGGCTCTCGGTTCGTTGTGGGAGGGGTTATAAAGGGGTTTATGAAAACCCTGTGATGTTGGCTATGGCAGGAGAGTTTACACCGTGGGCATTGGCGGGCATTGGCAGACACTGCACACCATGGCCTTGCCCTACATCTGCAGCAGTCACTAATAGACCCTGCAGGACCTAGAATGGCTTGAGGATCCGAGATGGCAGGTAGGTCTGAGAAGGGCCTTCCCACCAGCCCCTAACGTGCATACATAAAACCATGTGGTTCCTGTTCTGTGTGACCCCAGACCCTGTAATCCAAGAGCTCCCCTAGGAAGGGGATGATTCCAAGGGTTCCAGAGCTTATGCTAGCAGAGAAGCCAGGGAGGTCCCTGCTGAGTAAGTGGGGAGGAGAGGAAGGTAGATGCCTCTCCAGACAACTCCGAGAACCCAAGCATCCAGCAGTTTTCTTGGGGAAGAACTGACCCTAAGGGGCCTGAAGAGACTGAATGCAGGGATCCTTTGAGATGGGAGGGTGGTTCTTGGTATAGTCACCATCCAGTCATGCAGCCACTGGTTCAGAAGACATGAACGTGGGTGAAGTCAAGGCCTGGCCTGGTGCTTTTCTGCTTCTGCAGAAAGGTAGTTAACAGATACACTGTTGGTGAATGCAGAGAGCTTTGCGTCTACCTCCATCCATTCACCCGAAAGCCGCAGCACAGGCGGGAGACTAGTCTGCAGGGAATGCTTTCAGCAGTGCCCCTTGAGCTAAGGCTTGAAAGAAGCCACAAGAGCACAAGGCCTAATCCCTCCAGGGAGAGGGCAGAGCAGCTGCATAGGCCTCTACAGGGACAGTCCTGGCAGAGCAGGGGACTGCAGGAGGCCAGTTCAGCCCCAGCTGAGGGGCTAGCAACCCTTCCCGTGCTGCCTTGCAGCCAGACACCATCCCTGTGTAGGTTTAGACTCAGCCACAATCCACACTGGGTGTTGAGTAGGGGCAGCCGAGCAGCCTCCTGGGAAGAACAGTTTGCTCCACACCAGGATTAGGAGTCACACCATGCTGAAAGACCAAACAAGCCTCCTAGTGTTAGCACTCCTGGGACAGAGACAAAAGGGAAAGTGACCGACCCGACTGTGCCAGAGCCATAGCGTGGCACATGAGCTGACTTTGGACGAGGTGTGGCAAGCCCTCATGGGGGTCCCAAGTCATGTCTCATGACTCCCAGAGCCAAAGGTCACAGGGTCTAAAGAAATTCTCTCACATGAAAAGAGAGCAGAACAGAGAATGTGGGGAGCTTTTCCTCCACAGATTTGTGGCTAATTTTAAGTGTGGGCCTCAGATGTCACCCAAAAAGGAAAGATGGAGTAAATGAAACCCCAAAGTGAGCACAGGACCAAATGAGCAATGAGATGGTGGCCACAGACCCTGGAGCATGGCAGGGGACACATCCAGAGAGGACGCCGGGTCCTCTGAAGAAAGAGACGATGCAAGGGTTAAACACAGACACTGTGAATAAAGACTCTATGGGTAACAGTCAGTACGTGTGTGTGTGTGTGTGTGTGTGTGTGTGTGTGTGTGTGATCGTGCTAAACACAGACACTGTGAATAAAGACTCTACGGGGTAACAGTCAGTACACGTGCGTGCAGGTGTGTGTGTGTGTGTGTGTGTGTGTGAGATAGTGCTAAACACAGACACTGTGAATAAAGACTACGGGTAACAGTCAGTACATGTGTGTGTGTGTGTGTGTGTGTGTGTGTGTGAGATCGTGCTAAACACAGACACTGTAAATAAAGACTCTACGGGTAACAGTCAGTACACGTGTGTGTGTGTGTGTGTGTGTGTGTGTGAGATCGTGCTAAACACAGACACTGTGAATAAAGACTCTACGGGGTAACAGTCAGTACATGTGTGTGTGTGTGTGTGTGTGTGTGTGTGTGTGTGTGTGTGTGAGATCGTGCTAAACACAGACACTGTGAATAAAGACTACGGGTAACAGTCAGTACATGTGTGTGTGTGTGTGTGTGTGTGTGTGTGTGTGTGTGTGTGAGAGATCGTGCTAAACACAGACACTGTAAATAAAGACTCTACGGGTAACAGTCAGTACACGTGTGTGTGTGTGTGTGTGTGTGTGTGTGTGTGTGAGATCGTGCTAAACACAGACACTGTGAATAAAGACTCTACGGGTAACAGTCAGTACACGTGTGTGTGTGTGTGTGTGTGTGTGTGTGTGAGATCGTGCTAAACACAGACACTGTGAATAAAGACTCTACGGGGTAACAGTCAGTACACGTGCGTGCAGGTGTGTGTGTGTGTGTGTGTGTGTGTGTGTGTGTGTGTGTGTGTGATCGTACGTGCACATACCTCACTCCACATTCTTAGGAGTAATGATGAAATACCGTATTTACTCTGTGGCAGGGTCTCTGGCCGGGCTTTTCAAATGTCTAATCATTCAGTCTTCACAAGAAGCTGGGGCACAGCTTCTGCTCTTATACTTCCTTTGCTGGTGGGGAATGGAGGCTGAGCAGGCAGGATGACCTGGCTGGCACAGATGAGTGGACCCCCCACCCAGCTCTCTGCCCACAGGGGTCAGTGGGGGGCTGCATGAAACAGCCTCACCCAATAGGCTTCTTTGTGCCTTTCACTGTAGGGGTTAAAGCCCCTCAGCGCCCTGTCCTCCCAGAAGAGCCAGCCGTCCAGGTGTTTCCATGTATCATGGGGCCTGGTCAAGCAATGACAGAGCCCCATGCCACATGTGTGCTGGGTGGTAGGAGCTCTTCTCGGGATTCTCAGTCCAGTGTCTCAGAGTGGGTGAAGGGCACTGACCAGGTCGAGTCCAGCTCTGTAGCCTCACAGTCCAGGGTCTATGTGCCGCTGAGGCAACTGGCCCACGGGAACTGGTGATCCTGGCCTCACTCCGGCTTCTAGGACACTCTTTCTTATGGCCCCCATCCTCACATCTGTATCCCTTCTCTGAAAGGCAAAGGGGAGGGCACTGGAGGGCAGTTTTCCAGTCCACGTGGGCACCTCTCATTCTGCTGCCTCCACTTACGGAAACCCCGAGACCCACTCTATAAATATGCCAACTTTAACAGGAGGGCCCATCACCCCTCCGGGCTGTGCCTCCCTTACACCTCTGTGTAGCCCTGGAAACAGCCCATAATCACAAACCTAGGAGCCTTTGGCAGATTCCTCTTGGTGGTCTGCAAGGAAGATAACAAGAGCTGCGTCCCCACTAGGGCTGGGCAAGTCACCCCATCCTGGAAGAGCAGACCACAAGCCTCCTGCTCCTCATACTTCCTGGGATGAAAGAAAGAAAAATGGCCCTAATAGTTTGCGGCCACCGGGATTGGCCTGACTGATGCGTTTTACATGCTTTTCTCTGTAAGAAGGGATCACAGGCAGAGTGTGGGGTTGGTTGGAGATTACCACCCCCGCCCCTTTTTCCTTGGTGTCAATTAGCATAATTTAAAAGGCAAAGGCTGAGGGGGAAACTCCCAATATCTTTGGGGCTGTGAACGTTTCCGTCCTTTGGGGCTGATTATGGCCAAGTGACCCATATTTAAAAAGCATTTACAATAAAATGATGCACTTTCTTTTGTGCCGTCAGCTTTCCTGATGAAAAGCAAAAATGTCTTAAAATTGTCCCTTTTTGTCAGCGGTAATGGCTGTGCTATATTTCAGCTCATCCCCCTTGCGGCCATAGAAAGGGAAGGGTAATAAAGGCACAGCTGTAGACACTTTATGGCTGCGTGGGGGACATCGTGGGAGGGACAGGGAGTGGAGGAGGGAAACAGATGGACTGTGTGTCAACAAATGCAGCGGGAGAGAAAAGAAGCCTCTAAAGACCTGGACTGAAGTCCAAGATAAATGATGCTCCTGTTTGGGGAGAAGAAAACATGGAGGTGAAATTCAATAAAGACTGGCTGAAAAGAGAGGGGCTCCCTGGAGAAAAGGGAGAAAGGGGCCACAGTGAGGGGTGCAGACCAGAGGGGCAACAAAGGCCCATCCCTGC